ATTTTACTCTATGGCATTCCACAACCACAATGAAATTCCTAAGGAAGAATTTCTCAGAACGTGCACCTGTTAAGAGTCATATCACACTGTAATATCATGCAGTATGGCAACCAGGATTTTGACACTGATACATCAATCTTATTTATATTTCTCCAGTTGTACTCATGTTCAGGTATAAGTTAAGTGCTTCCCAATGTTATCACTAGGTAAACTTGCATGTCTACCACCAAAATGATAATACAAAACAGTGCCCACATCACAAATGTGGCAGGCTGATAATGACATCCCCAAAGATGTCCAGGTCCTTACCCATAGGACCTGGGACTATGTTAGCTTACATGGCTTAAAAGGAACTTTGTGTGAAAATCAAAATCAACAAAAAACTATGAACCAGAGACACTTTTTGGGGGGTGGGGGGCGGGAGGGGAAGGATTGGGGTCAGAATGGGGCGTTTGCAATTGTATGGGGGAATATAAAAATAAAATTTAATATTTAAAAAAAAAAAAAAAAGGAACTTTGTGGAGGGATGAAATTATGAATTTTTTTTTTAATCAAGATTTCTTTTTTATTTATGTTTGTTTGTTTGTTTTGTTTATACATGCACTGGGTACAGTCAGAAGCACGAGAGGGTGAGAGAATTCACCAGAGCCAGAGCGGGGAGCAGAGCAGGCAGAAGGACCGAAGTACACTGCTGAGGGGAGCAGCAGGCAGCAGGAGAGGTCTGCGCGCCATGTGGGGCCCTCCTCCGGTGGCCGGGGAGCAGCCGGGGGTCGAACTGGCGCTGCAGAGGCTGCGGGCAGCTTCGCAACCCAGCGCTCAACCGCTGCGCCACCGGGGAGGCCCGAAATTATGAATCTTGAGAAGGGAGATAATCCTGGATTACCCCAGGGAAGGGGCAGTGTCATCAGAGGGGTCCTTGTAAGAGAGAGGCAGGTCAGAGTTAGAGAAATAGACTGGACAATGGTGGGGCCTCCCTGGTGACACAACGGGTTAAGATGCAGCACTATGAAGCTATCGGCAGCCACTGCAAATGAGTTTGATCCCCGGCCAGGGAGGTAACCCACATGGCGTAGCAGACCTCTCCTGTCTCGCCCGCTTCTCCCCTCAGCAGTGGATTTCAGTAGATCTGCCTGTTCTGTTCCTTTCTGGTGAATCCTCTCACCCCCCACACCTCTGTCCTGCACCCCAGTCCCTGTATTCATAAATAAATAAATATTTTTTTAAATGGGTCTCCCTGGTGGCACAGGGGGTTAAGCACCGCACTGTGAAGCAATCCGCAGCCTCTGCAGCATGAGTTCAATCTCTGTCCGGCCAGAGAGAAACCCACATGGTGAGGCAGACCTCTCTTGTCTCACCTGCTGCTCCCCTCAGCAGTGTATTTCAGTCCATCTGCCTGTTCTGCTCCCAGCTTTGTCTCTGGTGAATCCTCTCCCCCTTCCCCTGCATCTCTGGCCTGTACCCCAGCTCTTGTATGTGTAAATAAACAAATCTTAAAAAAAACAACAGACTTGACAATGGAAACTGCCTTGTTGGAGCCAGCATGCCTGCTTTGAAGAAGGAAGAAGGGGCCAGAGCCAAAGAATGCAGGAAGCCTCTGGATCCTGGAAAAAGCAGGAAACAGATTCTTCCCTGAAACTTCCAGAAGAAACTAGTCCTGCCTAAATCTGGGTTTAGCCTCATGATACCCATTTTAAAGTTCTGGCCTCCAGCATAGTAAAATTATACATTTATGTTATTGTTAGACACTATGTGGTTAATTTGTTACAGCAGCAATGGGAAACTAATACTCAAAGAGCTCCCTTGTTGCCCTTTTATAACCATTTCCACAGCCCTCCCTCATGAATATATTGTTTAATCAAATTTTATTGATTTAACATTTGAGGTACAGCTTCACCCTTGGCAGGGTTCAGGCCACCGGTCACCACCGAATGCCTATAGACAGGAATTGAATCTAAAATGTTGATTATCTTGGTTTGGGGATTGACAGCACTAACTATTAGAGACGAGTTCATTGAGGGTGGACTTGTAAAAAGAGATACATCAGACCTCATCTGGAGAGGGAGAGGTTCAAGAAGTTTCTTGACTTTACCTTTATAAAACTTAACTCCTTCTCTGCTTGGCACTGTATGGGACTTTTGTCCAATCGAATTTTCTACGATGGACATATTCTATATCCGTACCATCCCAGGGGGCAGCTGCTGGCAGTTGTGGTTATAGAGCATTTGTTTTGTTTGTTTTGTTTTGTTTTGTTTTAAAGATTTATTTATTTATGCATACAAGAACTGGAGCACAGGCCAGAGGTGTTGGGGGGGCGGGTGAAGAGGATTCACCAGAGACAGAATGGGGAGCAGAGTAGGCAGAGCTACTGAATGAAATACACCACTGAGGGGAGCAGTGGGGAGACAGGAGAGGTCTGCTGCGCCCGTGTGGGTCAGCTCCCTGGTAGGGCTGCAGATAGCTTCAGAGTGCTGTGTCTTAACCCCTTGTGCCACCAGGGAGGCCCCGCTATAGAGCATTTGAAATTATTCAGTGTGAAACTTTGAAACTGAATTTTTTTTCAAGTATAATTTCCATTTTATTCTTTTCCCAGAGGACAGTTTTTCTCCAGTCCTTAAGAACTTTGCTCCTTTACATGGGCTCCAGCTGAAGTCGTGGGGCGGCACCTGTAGTCTAAACTGGGGTGGGAATGACAGATCCTTTCCCAGCTTTGTGTTCCATATTACCTTGCTGTTAATGGCACAAGTTACACAGTACTGTAATTCTGAAGACCGTTTGGAAAGCACATGTGCTTTGAAGACACTCACTTAGGAAATGTTCCTGAAAGCCGTGGCCTCCAGTGGATTTCAAAGGACAAAATTTTTAAAAGCCTTGTCCTTGGGCATGAATCCAGCCCGGCTGGTGCAGAACAGAAGGCACGTGGCCTGGCCTCTTTGGGCACGACCATTGCTCCTTCTATTCTTGATCATCGTGAAAGTGAGGAACTGAGAGTGGAACTATGATTTTAATTTTAAATAATTTAACTCTAAGTGGAAAAATTTGATACTCAATTCAATTATTCAAAAACTTTTAAGCAAGCTTGAAATAGCTGCTGTGCAAATTTACTTTCTTCCACCATAACATTTTATAAAACACAGAGATCAAATTTTTACAATGAAAACTAGTGCCTGAATTCTGATGGGCTGTGAGTGTACAATACCCACTAGATTTTTTGTTTGTTTGTTTAAAGATTTATTTATTTATTTATACAAACACTGGGTACAGTCAGAAGCGCGGGAGGGTGAGAGAATTCACCAGAGCCAGAGCGGGGAGCAGAGCAGGCAGAAGGACCAAAGTACACTGCTGAGGGGAGCAGCGGGCGGCAGGAGAGGTCTGTGCGCCATGTGGGACCCTCCTCCGGTGGCCGGGGAGCAACCGGGGATCGAACCAGCGCTGCAGAGGCTGCGGGCAGCTTCGCAACCCAGTGCTCAACTGCTGCGCCACTGGGGAGGCCCAATACCCACTAGATTTTAAGACTTAGATGATGAAAGTAACATAAAATATCTCATAATTTTTTATTTTATTATATGTTGAAATGTAAATATTTTTGACACATCTAGTTAATAAAATATATTATTAAAATTAATGACACTCTTTTTGTTATTGTTGCTTAAAGATTTTATTTTTGCATAAAAGAACCAGGATATAGGCCAGAGGTGCATAAATAAATAAATCTCTAAAAAATATAAAAAATATAAAAAATAGGCCCCTGTGGTGGCACAGGGGGTTAAGGCACAACCTATGATGCTATCAGCAACCACTGCAGCATGAGTTTGATCCCCAGCCAAGGAGGAGACCCACATGGCACAGCAGACCTCTCCTGACTCACCCGCTTCTCCCTTCAGCAGTGTATTTCAGTCAGTCTGCCTGTTCTGTTCCCCACTCTGTCTCTGGTTAATCCTCTCACCCTCCACACCTCAGACCTGTACCCCAGTTCTTGTATGCACAGATAAATAAATCTTTTAAAAAATATATAAAAAATAAAACTGGCTCCTTTTGTCCCAAAATTATGAGTCAGCTTTTCTTTTTTTAAAAAAAGATTTATTTTATTTATTTTTGTATACAAGAGCTGGGATACAGGCCAGAGGTATGGGAGGTGAGAGGATTCACCAGAGACAGAATGTAAGTAGAACAGGTGGATCTACTGAAATACACTGCAAAGGGGAGCAGCGGGCGAGACAGGAGAGGTCTGCTGAGCCATGTGGGTAGCTCCCTTGCTGGGATTGAACTCAGGTCACCTACATGGTAGTGCTGAGATTTAACCCCTGGGCCACCAAGGGGAGCCCATACTAGTTTTCTTTTAATGTGGCTACTGGAAACTTTTTAATTACTTACTTGGCTCATGTCATGTCTCTATTGAATATTACTACTATATGTCCCATGATGGCTGCAGGGTTTAAGAAATCAGATCAAAGAATATTTATGTAATATGAATGTCATCTTTGCCGTGCAACCTTGTCTGATCACTGTATTTGACACTATGGTCCCTCATCCCCCTCTTTCCTTGACTTGTATTCTCCATAATTTAGTTCCAGACAGACAGGAAATTTTTTGGTAACAGTTTTATTAAAATATAACTTACATACTATAAACTTTACTCAGTTAAAGTGCATAATTCTATAGTTTTCAGTATATTCAGAGTTGCACAACCATCACATCAACCTTAGAACATTTCATCACCCCAATAAGAAAGTCCCTAGCAGCCCCTTTTCTCTTCTTCTTTCCACATAGCTGCTGGCAGCCGTGAATCCATTGTCTATCACAATAGATTTGTCCGCTCCAGACATGCATATAAATGAAAGCAGACACTGTGTGGCCCTCTGTGACTGGCTTCCTTCACTCAGCATTGTGTTTCCCGGTTCATCTGTGTTGTAACATGTATCAGCACTTCATTTCTTTTTACTGCCAAACTATGTCATGATATAGTTACAGACCTGAGTGGTCTCCTTTACAGGTGCTGACTCCTTGTAAAAGAATTTAACAAGAAGGCAAGACAGATGGCATCCAGACAAGTTTTTATTAGACCTGTGCATAAGGTAGGCAACCCCAGGAAGGAGAGTTTCTGGACTTACTTCCTAAGAGGAGCTGAAAAAAAAACCTTCTAAGGGATTTACCCTTAGAAGTGGAGAAGGAAGTAAAGTGATAACATGTTTGGGTCAGGCTATATTGGGGGATGCACAGAAGAGCTACATGCTTCTTCATATATGGCATGTCCAATTCATTAGTATCTAAAGTCTCCACCCAGGGGTGTTCACTCTAGCGTGCTAGTGAGACTCAGGTCACGTCTTAGCTAACTGCTCATGTACAGCTCTCTGTCATCCCCTTCCAGCCTTCCAGGATCTGGCATGACAATCAGTTGTTAAAAATATTTTTATTGGGATACAGATACCTTTGTTAAGATATGGGGTGTCTCAAGGTTGTTAAAATGAAATGCTATATGACTGCTGCTAATCCATGTGTTTGAAGCTGGGTACAAGGTAACTCCCATACCAGCTGCAGCTTCCAAGCAGAAGCCCAGGTAAGTCCCTGGGTAGTTAAAACAAAAACAACTTCTTCCCAGTAGTTTGCAGTTTAATTAATCTACGCTATTTCAGTGACACAGGTGTGCCACATTTTCTTTATTCATCCATTGACAGACTTTTGGGTTATTATGAATAATGCTGTTATGAACATTTGTGTACAGATTTTTCTGTGGACACATCTTCAGTTCTCTTATGCAGATACCTAGGAATTGAACTGTTGGGTCACATGGTAATTGTAAGTAAAACTGTTTTTTTTAAAGATTTTATTTTTATTTATACAAGAACTGGGGTACAGGCCAGAGGCACAGAGGGTGAAAGAATTCACCAGAGACAGAGCGGGGAGCAAAACAGGCAGACGACTGAAAACACTGCTGAGGGGAGCAGCGGGCAGGACAGGAGAGGTCTGCTTCAGCATGTGGGTATGTCCCTGGCCGGCCGGGGAATTGAACCCATGCTGCAGAGGCTGTGGACAGCTTCACAGTGCTGTGCTCTGGGGAGAGCCAGTAAAACTATTTAAGGAACTGCCAGACTATGTTCTACACTGGCTGCACCATATCACCTCAGCTGCGTGAGGGTTCCAGTTGCTCCCAAACCCCGCCAACACTGATTATTCTGTTTTTCCTTTGTGGTGTGCCCCTGTCCTTTTTAAGTCCTAGCCATCCTGGCAGTCAAGGAGTGCTTTCATTGTAGTATTGATTTGTATTTCCCCAATGATGTTTGACAATGAGCATCTTTTAAGACTCATTGGCCATTTGTTTATTTAAATTGTTTTTGAGGGCCTCCCTGGCGGCACAAAGGGTTAAGTCTCAGCACTATAAAGCTACCCCAGCACTATGAAGCTATCCACAGCCACTGCAGCACGAGTTCGATCCCCGGCCAGGGAGATGACCCACATGGTGAAGTAGACCTCTCCTGTCTCCCAGCTGCTCCCCTCAGCAGTGTATTTCAGTCAGTCCACCTGTTCTGCTCCTCACTCTGTCTCCGGTAAATCCTCTCACACACACACACCACCTCTGGCCTACATCCTAGCTCTTGTATGCATAAATAAATAAAATAAATCTAAATTAAAAATTAACTTTTGAGCAACGTCTGTTTAGAGTCTTCTTTTATTCTTTTTTCTTCATTTATGCAGGGATTTTATCTGTTTTGTTCTCTGCTTGGAAAGCCAGAAGGCACACTCCTAGGAGCACAGTGTTTGTTGAATGAATGAATGAGTGAATGAATCTGGTTTTGCAGGCAGTGGGATTTGTAATGCTCACACATGCACCTGTTGCTGGGTCCCATCCACGCCTATTCCTTGGTTGATTGCCTCGCGGTGGTGTGTGTCTGCCCCTTGTGTGCTAGTTCCTGCGGCCGTCCCGTCCCGTATCAATACCAGGCCCTAAACTGAGCCATTCCTCCAGATTCCACCCCAGCCCCACCCCCAGCAGGTCCAGTTCCAGACGCGGTCGCCCTTGGCAACGCTTGGCCGCCGCGCTTCCTGTATTGATTCGAATCGCCTGCTACGTCGCGTCCTCCCGAGATGCCCGTCGCGCGCAGGCGCAGCTGCGCATGGTGGGCGTGGCCCGGGCGGGAGGCCACGGCGCGCGGGGGAGTGGCGGGGCGTGGCCGCGGCACGCAGCGCGCCGGCGCGGGGGCGTGGCCGGGCCGCGGGGACGCGCGCGGCGCGGCGGAGGAGGGTGCCGGCGGCCGCATATCGGCGACCGCCGCCATATTAGGGAGCGCGGAACTCCGGATACCGTCCGCGGCAGCGGCTGCCGGACCTGGCGGAGCTGCGGGGAGCTGAGGCGGGCGCGGCACGGCGCCGGGGCCGGCGGGGCCGACGGAGCCAGCGCGGGACGGGAGCGAGCCAGGTCAGGAGGCTCGGGTCTGGGGACCCGCCCCCCGTGCCCGAGCCGCGACCCCGAGCCGGGCAGGGCCTGGCGGCGGGGCGGTCCTACTCGAGGGTCCCCGACACCGAACCGGCGGCCCGGACTGCTCCTCCCAAGCTTCAGGGGCCGCCAGACCCCCTCCCCCTGGACGCCGCCCCCAGACCGAGCTAGGCCCGGGGTGACCTCAGCATCCCACCGCGCGTCATATTCCTAAGTCAGATATTGAACCGGAGCCTCCTGCAGCTCGCAGCCTCCTTGCTCGGCAGGTCTACAATCCTTTAATAAGTAGAGGGCGGAGCTCTGTCCCCCAAAACGAGGAGGGCCGCCCCCCCAGGTCGCCCCTCCGCAACTGCGAGCCCTTGCCCTGACCTGTGTTGCTCATCTCTGGCCTGTCAGACTCGTGTCTTGCGAGTTCGAGTTCAGACCATCCCACCTCAGGCCCTGCCCAAATTTAAACTGCCCCCCACCCCAAGCTGTCGCGACTTAAGCAGGCTCCAACCAGCCACCCCCTCCCAATATAATACAATCTGGGCCTTGAGGATCCTGAAACAACTAGACTGAGGTGTCCGGTCCTGTGGTCACTGCCCCCATTGTATTCAACGGGCCCTTCTCAGTTCCTGGCACACACACACTCAGGCAACGCGTTTTGAATACTTAAGTGCCCCCCATTCTCCCAGCCCCTCTGGTTTTTATTCCCCTATCCTCCAGTTTGACCCATTCCAGCCATGATCCACCCAGAATCAAGCTCTCTCTTCTGGGACCTGCCCTCACCAGAATCTGAGATAGCCTATGCCCAGCCATCCTCTGATCAGGACTCTTCTGTGTCCTATTCCAAGCCGCAGCACCTTGAACCTCTAAGTGTGGAATACATCCCCCCATTTGGATCCATTTTCCCCTATTAACAACCGTGACCCCGCCCCTGTTGTCCTGCTGTCTAGACATGTCCCCAACCCTAAGCCTGAGACCCACTCCAGGTATCCAAGCTAAAATTGTTTTGTTTTTCTCTAGTCTCCCTTCCCTCAAAATCATCCCCTCATTCAAAGTGCCTTTTGGACTGGAAACTAGATCCCCAGTCTAAAGCAGTGACTTCTTAATTCTCTCCAGTGAAGCTTATCCCCTCCCCATTTCTTACCATATCTTGAAGGAGGACGACTTACCTAAAAGAACAGCATCCTCCCGTGGCATAGTCAGCCGGCCACCAGGACTGGGGACAGGGCAAGTGGGGGAAGCTTTGAAATGAAGGCGTTTGGGTGGTCTGTCCTGGAGGGGATCACAGGCTTCGCACACTGGGAGCTGGTGGAGGCCCTTGGGGGCTGTTCTGGAGTGGTCCATGTTGTCCCCTAGTATGCAGCCTAGGCTGTTTCTCATGGGATGTCATGACCTTTGCTGTCGCTGTCCCTGTTTTGGTGATACTGGATGATCTCTGAACAGACAGTGGAAGTAGCTGTGCTGGCACTTTGCATAGTGAGCAACACTGGATTGCTCCTAGAGGGTTCTGTTAAGGGTGCAGGCTCCTCTCCTCTAGAAACTAGGGCCCTGGTCCTTAGACAGCTCTTGGCTCAAAGGATACTTGCTTTGTTGTGGTGAGGCAGTGTCTCACCAAGCTGTGCTGGCCAGCGTGCTCCTGGGACTGTTCCTGGGAAAATCTTGGAATCCATGCACTGGCCAGGAGTGATGGCTGTTTGTGACTGGGGGAGGACTACCTGGAAGCGATCAGAGAATCCTGATGAGTCTTCGGAAGTGGATCTGCGCTGATTCTCATCCCAAGTCCTCTTACTGCAGGAAGTCTCCCTCTATGGTGTTTTTGGGGGGCCTCTCACTGAAAGTGTTTTATATACGGGGCATGTGAGGTCTGGGGAGGTCAAGAATGTGCTTGGTTGTGGGGACCTTATGCTTAGTGTCACTGAGACAGTTGAGGATTCAAGGTTATTCTGTCTGGAGGGTCCATCCCAAGGACATCTGGTTAGAGTCAACACTACAAGACTTGGTCTTCTAGGAACCAACCACATCACAGTGCCTTCTAATTCTTTTCCTCTAGAGCAGGGGTTCTCAGCTGGGGACACTGGGCCATGTCTGGACACATCTATGGTCATGACTGGGGATGCACCTGACATTAAGTGATTGGGGCCCGGGATGCTGCTCAGCACCCGACCAGTGCCCAGGACATACCCTCCTAGCCCCCAGGGAGTGATCTACCACAGTGTCACAAGTCCCAAGGGAACAAGACCCTGGACTAGAGTCCAAAGCATGACTTTGCAAGGACAGGGACTCTGCATGGTGCTCTGGCAAGGCCGGGGCTCAAGAATGCTGACTCGAGGGGTGATGAGGACTGGCTCCAATCTGGGGTTAACCAAGGAGCCAATGGTCTTGTGGTGACCTCTCCTGTCCTAACAGTTCCCCGTGGTTTGGTTTCTGCCCCATCATAGGCCCCCCTGGCCTGTCAGCTCCACCTGTCATCATCCTGCCCACCTCTTACTCCAATTCCCTGAGGCTTCGCTACTTTGGGGCTACCCCATGCAGGTGATGAGTGGTTGGGGCCAGCATGTCCCACCAGCTCCTTCCTTTAATGGACAGATATTTGTTGAGCCCTGGGACTTAGCACACAATGAAACACCCCCCCCCACCCCCCCACACTGGCACTAGTATCCCTGACACCCATGTGTCCTTGTCTTTGTCAAGTGGCCACTTCCTCCTGCCTCAGACTCCTCACTTGTGACTGGGATAAGAGAACTCACTTTGCCTTCTACCTGGCCTGGTGAAGCGACCACTATGCACAATAAAGGTGCCTTGCCCCACCGGAATAAAGAAGGAGAATGGCCAGTCCACTCTCTGGCCTCCTACTCACCCTGTGGATCCTCAGGCTCCTGCACTGGCCCTTCTTTCTCTTACCTTGTTTGTGTACTTGAACTTTGTTGGTAACAGCTTTATTCAGATACAGTTCTCATGCATACAGTCCACCTGTATAAAATGTACAGTTCACCGGTTTTCGCATATTTACAAGGCTGTGTTGTATTTCCAGAACACAGGGTGTCTGTCTGCACTTGTAGAAGCACTGCGCAGCGGAGAGGTCTGTGCTGGTCTGCTGGAAACAACGATTCCCCGCTTAGGATTTCCTTACCCCAGGGGTTCTCAGCTATGGACAATGTCTGGGGTCTTCTGTGGTTGTCACACTGGCAGGGCTGCTTGCACTGTGGGACAGGGATGCTGCTCAGGGCCCCTTGGTGCCCAGGATACGCCCTCCCAACCCCCCACCCCCCGCCTGTCAGGCCCTAGTGTCACAGTGCTGGGGGAGAGCCCCGCCCTTGTCCTAAACATGCCCGGTGCTTCCTTCTGCAGCCCCACCTTGACTTCATGGGTGGGAACCACAGTGAGACAGACCTAGGAAGCACCTTCTGACACTCAAGGCTGCCTGTAAGGGGCTGAGCTCCCTGCCGTGCGGGTGTGCAAGCAGACGCAGATGCGAGAGGGCTCCGGCACTCATGGGCTTAGTCTGATCACCTTTACAGCCTTGTCCCCCCTAGGAGTCTGCCCTTTGACATCAGTGACAGTTACAGCCACATAAATGACCGTAAATCCTGTGGGTACAGTGTCCAAGTTGACCTTCCTTTCCCAGGGTGTTGTATCCTTTGGGCTGCTGCAGATCAAACGTTTCACCAAGTCAGGAGGGAGGGAGGGAATACCCCAAGGGGAGGGCAGGGACACTGAACCTTTGGGACTTAGACTGGGTTTTCCAGGTCAGCGCAGCGTTCTCACCTGGGGTGCTGCTGCCCCTGCTGCTTGCAGTGTGCACCAGTGTGCTCTGGGCCACATGCCCTGGAGGGACAGGCTCTCTGCTGCCTGCACAGCGGGGAGTGGGCATCTGCTGAAAAGGTGAATGATGCTGGGGAGTCACCTCAGCTCTTCACACTCTTTGTCATTCTGACTCATCACACCCCTGTCTTCTGCTGTCTTTGGAGGGGAGGTGTCCCTGGCTCATGTTCCCTCTGCATAGTGGGACCCCTCCCTTCAGCTGTCACAGGCTGGGTTCTAGTCCAGAGTGGCTGCCCGTCAGGCGAGGGCCAGCTCTGCCATATCCCTCACTGAGGGTGATGCCTCCTCTCTAGGGGAGGCCTGTCTTTTTCATCTGTGTGAACAGCCTGGCAACCTGACCTGAAGGTCATCGGGGCAGCCGTTGTGGCGGGGCCCTGAAACCTGCGTGCACAGCAGATGGAAGAGCAGGAAGCAGGTGCATCTGGGACTCTGTGCCCTCCAGGACCAGCCGCCACTGCCTAGTGTCTCTTTGGGCCTGTGCTGTTAGCTGTTTCTCAAGTGTCATCTACTCTCGCAGCAGCAGCGTGGCATTACCCCCAATTTTGAGATGAAGAGACTTGGGGTTAGAGAGGTGAAGCAGCTCACCCAAAGCTGTGTGGCCAGCAAGGGCGGAAGCCGGGACTCAAGCCCGGTGGGGACTATAGGAGGAGGAGGGGCCCATGGGGAGTGGATGCAGGCTTGCCTGGGCCCCATCTGCAAGGGGCGTAGAAAAGTGGACGGCTCCCTTGTTCTGGCTGTCTTCTCATACAGTACTTCTCCTCTGACCCCTTAGAGAATGACTGGGTCCCCAGCAGAACCCCCTTATCTCTCTCAGGAGAGAGTGGCTGGTGATCATTTGGTGGGTGGGGGGGGGGGGACACCCAGAACCATCCATTGGTGAAAGGTCTTGCCCAGGACAAAGTGAAGTAGAACTCATGGGGTGCTTCAAGCTGGGCCTGACCTGGGGTAAGGCAGATTCTCTGCTGTCGTGTAGTCCTCTTTCATGCTCTGACAGCCCCCCCACGGTTAGCAGCAGTTCCTTTTACCTGGAGCCCACGCAGGACGTTTTCCCAGACTCCTGCTGGTGGGCTTCCTCCCTTACCCTTTCCATATCCCATATGGGTGCAAGTGCCACCCAGCCCCTAACTGAGGGCTGATGCAGCTGCCCTCCAGAGGCTGGCATTACCATCACCCACGAACACAGGGATGACACAGCTGGGTGCTCCTAGATTTGAGTGGGTGGGGCCAGGGATGCTGCTTGATCCTCAGCACTGCCCAAGACAACCCCCCACAGAAAGTAATCTGACCCAGATGTCAGCAGTGCTGAGGGATACCAGGTATAAATATTTTGTAGTGCCCCATGCTGACCGCACTTACTCTTGGGACACTGAGTCATCGGCCATCCAGATGTTTTGTCTGGCTCCTTGTCACGCCTTACGAAATCTAGTGGGAGCTAGTTTTTTAAGCTGAGCAGGACCTTGAAGGACCTGAATTCTGGCTGAACATTTCTGGAAACAAGTATTAAGTTCTTGGAGACCTCAGGGTCTGGAGTGAGCCCCAGGGTGCAGGGGAAACAGCACTCAAGGTGCAGGTGCCCTCTGCAGCTGAGCCCTGACTGGAGGTGTGGTGTCGCCTGCTGTGACCTCATCCTGCATCATCACCATCCTGCCCAGACAGGCCCCTCCTGAGACTGCTTCATCATTTGTCAGGGTGGGGTAGGGTGGTTCCTGCCCACACTTGGCTGTGGGGGCATTTTTGTGAGGATAAGGGGCCTGCTGTGGGGTTCCCTCATACGCGCAGGCGTGTTTCTAAGACCCAGCCCCTCTGAGGTCTCCTGAGACTTCCGCTGAAAGAAGGACTCCTGGGGGCTGGCCACGGGTTTTTTCGTGCCCTCTTGTGCTGCTGACTCCAGGGCCAGCCCATGTACTCTTGGGCTCTCTTGAGGTTTCCCTAGGCCAGGCCTAGAGCAGACCTGTGATCTCTCTCTGTCTCTCTCTCTCTCTCTCTCTCTCTCTCTCTCTCACACACACACACACTCTTGGTGAAGGGTGGTCTTGGGCACTGAGGAATATGAGTAGCATGCCTTGTCCCCACCTACTCGATGCCAAGTGTCTCCCAAGTCATGACAAACATGTATGTCCCTAGATATCTCCCTGACTCCTGGGACAGAGCTGCCCCATTGAGAAGTGCTAGGGTATGCAGTGAACCCACCTTGAAGTACCCAGTGAACCATGTGTACCTGTAGGCCCCAGGGAGGCTGAGGGCCTGTGGGTGGGTGAAGTGGATGAGGGGGCTAGCAGGGCGCCCCAGCAAGGCCTTAGGAGGATGCAGCGGGGCTGTTGGATAACCGAGTTAGAGGTGAGGGCCCTAGTAGGTCAATGCCTCGGACCTCTTCATCCAGCGTGAGTCAGCCTCGAATTCAGCACAGACCAGGGATGAACGTGCAGAGGCCTGCCCCCTGACACGAGAGCCCTAGCCTGAACCACATGGGGACCTCACCACCGTCCTATCAGTGACGGGTCACGTCCATTTCCCAGAGGAGCAGGTGAAAGCTTGAAGGCTAAAGGCTTGTCCAGAGCAGGGACAGAAGGCTGGCCTCCTGTCTCTTCGCTCTAGGGTCCTCCGGGTGAAAGCAGACCCTCCTCTTAAGGGCTGTCGCCAACGATGGGGAGACCCACAGTGACAGTGCCCTGCAAAGGGGACAGTGGCAAACTGGGTCACCAAAAGTCCCAGACCACAGACACCAGCCTGCGGCTGGTACAGGAAGGACCTGCTGTCAGCAGGGCGCGCGCCTTTCCTTCATTGCCTCCGTCCCAGCTGTCCCCGGACTCAGCGTCTGCCCTGGACTCCCTGTGCTGTCTGTGCTCGGTGACCGCTCGTTCACAAAGAAATCTGTCTCTTTGCCATTTTATTAGGAAACTTTTCAAACATAAACAAAGGTGGCAGAATGCCCTGGGGCAGAGCCAGCCGCGCCCCCAGTACGAGAGGCTTCCTCTAGAGAGCTGGCTTCTTGGGGCCCGTCTCCCCGCTGGCTTATTTGTTTGAGTAGCCGAAAGTCACAGGACGAGGAACTGAAGAAGTGCAAACATCACAGGCAGGAGAAATGGCTTCCTTCCTCCGCCCCATCTTCTGGTTCCTCTCCCCGGAGCGGCCCTCCAGCCCCTGGTCTCAGGGACCCTCCTGCTACCGCTTTGTCACAGTGCGGTGCCCTGGGGCCGTGGGCCAGGCCCTCGGGTCTTGCTTCTCATCCTAAACCTTCTTCCTACGCTGGGTTTTCTCAGCTCCTGTGTCGGAGGAGCAAATTCTTAGATGGAGAAGCCCAGCACCAGAAAGGCTGTTTATTTTCAGATTTTGATACCCATTGCCAGATTGCCTGCCTTAGAAAAGGCACCGTTCTGGTTCTTGCCAGGCGCCCCTCCCCACCCTCCTCACCCTGGGCGTGTCACCTAATCTCAGAGCACCCCAGCCCTGGCGGAAAACCTTGTCAGTAGATTTGCAGCTGTCTGCTGCGCACGGTGGCCGGCACCTTTTCCGGGAAGGCTTTGCTGGGATCCTTTGCTTCCTGGGCCTGTCCTGTGAGTGGCAGGTATTTATTTTTCCGGTTGTATCTTGTTTTTCAAAAGATATTTGTGGTGTGCTTTGCCTTACCAACACTTTTCATTTCTCTGTGGATGACTCCACCGGCCTTTTCTCTCTCACCCACTCGCTCGTGTTTCTGTTTTTTTGAACAATGAATTAAGACATTATGAGAGACGATTACAGTAGCTGCAAAGCACGTCCAGCCTCTGAGTGCTTGTTTGTGTGTTTTTAATGGGTCTGAAGAGCTTCATGTGAGCACCGAGAGGCCTACCTCAGATTTTCTCCACAGTAATACAAGTTTTTCGGGCTATAAATTCTCCATCACATTTTGTTGCTTTGTTTTCCCGACCTTCATCTCTTTGGCCCTTTTGCACTTTACCCCCCTTGGTCCTTTCTCCTCCCCCTCAGAATTCTCAGGGTGGTTGTTGGCACCCAGTGGTTCTGACAGGGGTTCTGCGTTGTCAGAGCTTCCACGTAAACAGCCAGTGTTAGTCTTTGTCACTCAGACTTGCTTTCCTGCGCACCGCTCCCTCGCACGCCTTCCATTTTGCTGTCAACATTTTGTCTTTCCTCATAAATTTATATACACTTGTAAAGGTGTAAATACGTATTTATTTATAAATACATGAACTTAGAGGTTCACCAATTAAAACCCTGTCCAGAAGAGGAAACTTTAACAGTTGTGTTTATTTTTCCTACCACCACCACCACTCTCTTTGACTCCCTTTGACTCCCCCCCACTGTGCTTATTAGCTCTGCTAGTTTTTGCAAGTATTTCCTTAGGAGCATCATCTGCTTATGTAAATGTCCAGTATTGTGTTTGTCATGAGGCTTCCATTTTGCCTTATGTGGCAACATTTTGTCTTTCCCTGTGGCTGAATAGTGTTCTCCTGGGTGACCTGGTCCTCTGTCAGTGGCTTGTCCCTAATGCTGCTGTAAATATTGCAGAGTTTTTAATTTTTTTGAATTGATGGTTTTGAGTTGATGTAAGTGTGGGTGTTTCTGACAGTTTCGATTGCCTTTGGCATATAGGATTGTCATCCAACCTTTAACACTTAAGTCTGTGCTTTGGTGGTAAGATGAGTTTGCTACGAACCGCAGAAGGCTGGACTTTGTTTTGAAATTCACTCAGCTGTTCTGAATCTTTTTTTTTTAAAGATTAATCTATTTGTGCATACAAGAGCTGGGGCACAGGCCAGAGATGCGGGGGGTGAGAGGATTCACCAGAGACAGTAGGGAACAGAACAGGCCGACTGACTGAAATACACTGCTGAGGGGAGCAGCGGGGAGACAGGAGAGGTCTGCTGCGCCATGTGGGTCAGCTCCCTGGCCGGGAATTGAACTCATGTATGCATGGCTGCCGGTAGCTTCATGGTGCTGAGACTTAACCCCTTGCGCCACCAGGGAGGCCCTCTTATACGTTAAGTACCCTAGACTAGAAGTCTTTTTCCTTGAATACTTTAAATATTTCCTATCATTCCCTTCTTGCCTGTAAAGTTTCCACTGAGAAGTCCATGGACAGTGTTCCTTTATTTGTTACTTGTCTTCCTCTCCATGCTTTTAATAATCTTTTCTTGTCATTAGCTTTCAACATTTATGTATAATATATATGTATAATGTACTTGGAGCTGGTATTATTGTATTATTGGAGCTGGTATTATTGTTTGTTTCCCAGATTAAGATGGTTCTCAGCAGTTATTGCTTTAAAATAAATTTTCTGTCTTTCTCTTCTCTTTCCGTAACCTCCGTAATATGGACATTATTTCTTTGCTCTGTTTGTGTATTCTCTGCCACTGTGCTTTCAAGCCTCCTAGTTCCCTCCATTACTGTGTTTGTCTGCTGTTGAGGCCCTGTTATTTTTTAATTTGGTTGTGGTATTTTTTAGATTCATTAGTTTTAATTGTAATGTCTCATATCTTCTCGATCTTTATTGTGTTGCTGTTTTACATAATCTATTGTTTTTCTTAAATGAGCAAGCATGATTTTGCTGTTACTTTGAACTTCTCCTCAGGCATATTCCGAGGCAGTTATGCTGGGTTGAGACTTTCTCGGAGTTCGTGATATGTTCTTCCCTCTTTTCAGCATTTGTGATATGTTCTTCCCTCTTCATTTTCAGTTTTTATGGGTCAGCCTTTTCTTTTACAGCGCCAGAGTGGTGTTCTGTAGTGCGGCAGTCTTAGAGAAGGCAGGTGGGGTCCTAGAGCTGGCACTGAGGTGTGTTTGCCTCCAAGCCCAGTGCTGGGACTGAGGACACTTTCTTGGATGCTTTGAGTTCCCTGCCATGGGCCAGTCCGCACATTGGCTGAGCTCCAGGGCTTAGTTCCAGCGAGGGGTCTGGGGCTGTTGGGAAGACCTGGCCATGTGGTTTTATTTTTTTTTTAATTTTTTTTATTTATGCATATAAGAACTGGGGTACAGGCCAGAGGTGTAGTGGGGGGAGAGGATTCATGAGAGACAGAGTAGGGAACAGAAAGGCAAACTGACTGAAACACAGTGCTGAGGGGAGCAGCAGGGGAGACAGGAGAGGTCTGCTGCACCATGTGGGTAGCTCCCTGGCCGGGGATCGAACTTGTGCTGCAGAGGCTGCGGATAGCTTCATAGGTTGTGTCTTAACCCCTTGTGCCACCAGGGAGGCCCTGGCCATGTGGTTTTATCACCAGCATGGTTTGTGTGTGAGTTTAAAGCCCATCAAAACTGCTTGTTCCTGTGTTATTGCATGCCTTCTGAGGTCTTAGTCTTTCACCCACAGCATCTCTCATTACTTGTACCTCCTCGCCAAGAAGTATGGGGTCAGGGGCTGGGTTTGACTGGTGTGTTCCTGAGGGTGTTGGGTTAAAAACGACAGGGCTCTTTCCTCTGACCAGCAAGGTAGACTCACCCTACGTAAACTGACATCTGATTTACAAGATCAGAGTCTCAGTTCAAGAATCGTTCCACCCTTACCCATGCCCCCTGGATGCCTCTGCATGTTTCAGGTCTTGGGGAGATCCTCCAGGGCAGGGTGTTGGGATCAGTGACCCCCCCGACCCCACTTTTTGAATCCCCCCATACTTAGGCAACTAGTCATTGGCGTCCCTTAAAATTTGATTCCCAGTTGCAAGTTTCACCCCCAAAATTGTTCATTACTGCGTTGTTTCCTGCCTGCAGCCCCACTCAGTGGGGAACTTGGAACCATTCCTGTCATTGTTAGCTCTAGCTGGTATGGCTCTGGGCCTGAGGACATACATCAAATGTGGGTTTGGGGGAAATGCATGAGTGAAAACCCACCACCGCCCTGACAGATACGAGTATCCCAGGAGTCAGGGGACAGGGACAGAAAAGCCAAAAGGAAGGGTTGGTGGGCATCCACAATGAGCTGCATGGGCCTGGCAGAGGAAGCCTCTCAGCCGCCCCCCGGGGATCAGTGGAAGAGGCAGTGTGTGGTCTTCCGTCCTCTGCCCTGAGACGCGAGTGTCCTGGGGGCTGCTGTAACGGTCACCACAGGCTGGGGAGCCTGCCACAGACAGACATTTATCTGTGACAGTCCTAGAGGTCAGGAGCCCAACACCGCCTCAGGAGGCTAATTCCCGGTGTGGGCAGGCTTGTTTTTCTGAGGCTCCAGGAGAATCCAGCCCCTCCCTTGTCCAGCTTTTAGGGGTGCTGCTTCCTGAGCTTGGGCCTTTCCCCCATCCTTACAGCTAGCAGTGCAGCATCTTCCCGATTTTGACTCTCCTCCTCCCTCTTATAAGGACCCTCATGACAACCCAAGAATCTAGAATCCTTCATCTGAGAGGCCTCAGTTCAGTCTCCTCTGCAAAGTCACTGTGCCACGTGAGGTGACATGCCCCGGTCTGGGCACGGACCCTACAGGCTGGGAAGTGTGGAACCTGTCTCACCCTTAGGGGGGACATGTCAGTAGTGGGATGCCCACTTGCTGCCTGGGCTTCTGCAAGCTGCCCAGCAGGGGTAGCCAGCCCAGGGGACAGCTGCGCTGATGGGCGGAGGGTGCCATGCTGCCATGCTTGCTGGACTTGAACATGTTCAGCGCCCATGACTCTGGAACACTGGCGGTCTTGCGGCCGCCCTTTCTCTCCTCCCAGCCACAGCTTTGGTTCTGATTAGTTTCTGGTATGCTGAAGCATACAAGCTCTTGTCTGGACCCTGCTGGTGGTGACACACACCCAGCCCTGCCTGGCCCCCCCCCCCCCCCCCGGGGATCTTTGAGAACTCCTGGGGATTTCGGCCTCATGGTGATGATTCAGGCCCTCCTGAGTGGAGGGGCTGTGGTTCCATTAGAGCCAGCCTGTCTGGGCCAAGAGGTTTCGACCACTGTAAGTATAGCACGACTGTTGTCCATGATGAGGCCACTGGGGGGCCTCTCCTTCCCCCGGCCCTGAGCCTCTCAGCTTAGGCACTGCAACCGCTGACTTTTTCTCAGATGGGTCACTTTTTTCAGTGGTGACTGGGTAGCCTGCAGGTTCTCTGAAAACTGACGAGGGCCGTTCTTTACCTTGTCTCTCAAGGGCTCGCTCTGCCTGGTCAGGGCCAGTTGGGGAAGTAATCTCGTCTCTCTGAGCCTTGTTGCTTTGTCTAAAATTTGGAGGAACAGGGGGCCTCCCTGATGGCACAAGGGGTTAAGATGCAACCTGTGAAGTTATCCACAGCCACTGCAGCATGAGTTCAATCCCCAGCCAGGGAGCAACCCGCATGGCACAGCAGACCTCTCCTGTCTCCCCGCTGCTCCCCTCAGCAGTGTATTTCAGTCAATCTGCCTGTTCTGTACCCCACTCTGTCTCTGGTGAATCCTCTCACACCCCACACCTGTGGCCTGTACCCCAGCTCTTGTATGCAAAATAAATAAATCTTCAAAAAAAAAGTTTGGAGGAACAGTTGACTGTCCTGATTCTAGGAAAGTGCCTACTAGGGACAGGAACATGTTAGAATGGAGCCCTGATTGTTCAGCCTCTGTTCCTTGTCTCCCACCATCCCCACCTGCCCATGAACCCCACTCATAGAGCCTCAGTGCTCTGTGAGGCTAGACACTGGCCCTCCAGCGGCTCCGTTCTGGCTCTACTCAGCCTGGCACTGTGGTCAGCAAGGTGAACCTTAGGAAACTGTCTTCCAAATGGGCCTCCAAAGGTGACAGACATTAAGACGACATCTCTGTGTCCTGTAGGTGGCTGCTGCCCCTGGGAGTAGCCAGGTGTGATGAGGACATGAGTAGGGGGCACTGGGCACGGCCTAACACTGGGGGCAAGATGGGCAGGAAATGAGTGCATTCTGTGGGTGGACTTTGAGTGGACTGAGCTGGCAGGGAGAACAGAGTGGAGGTTGGGAAAGTGGCCCTGGCCCTAAGGAGAGGTGAGGAATCTTTGAAAAGAAGAAAGGAGCAAGGCAGCCAGCAGCCACGTCCAACTTCACGCTCTGTCCTGTGGCCTAAATGAAACAAAAGGTGTCTGGGGACGTCTGTCGAGGCAGGGTGGTAGAGAGTAGAAGACCCATGGTCATGAAGGAACAGCCCTCAGGACTTTAGCACAGAGGGTGGGGTGCTGAACGCTGTAGCCTCGTTTCTCGGGATGTATGGGAGCCACTGCCTGGGCCACCACGTGACCTGGGGCACACCCCTCATTCAGTCTTCCTGTCTTCATCTGTGGGATTGGGTGTTGGGGGCAACGCTCAGTTCATGAGGCCTCTTGAAGGGAAGAGGAAATAAATGCACTTAGGTGCAGAAGGCCCCTCCCAGGAAGGCTGGGACCCCAGAGTGTCTAAAGCAGGAGGGTGATGAGATGGAGTGCATGGGTTGGAGAAGGGGGCCTGGAATGAGCCCCTGGGGGCCAGGAATGGATAAGGAGTTTTGCCCCGAAAGAGGACAGGGTGAGGAAGCCCTGGACGTCCCCCCCGCCTCCTGTTGAGTCTCCCTCTGGCTTCCAGGGACTGTGGGGTGTGGCCAATTGTGCATCCTGGGCTTCTTCAAGGGAGGGCCCTGCCACGTGGAAGGGACTCAGCTTTCCCCAAGGAACGCCCCTGGTCATCAGGCCATGGTGGGGCGCTGCCCGTTGGTGCTGACTGCTCCTGTTCTTCCTGCCTCAGGCTGACCTTGGCTGGTTAAACTTGGCTAGTGGACTAGGCCTGCCCGGCCTCACCATGGACCAGGACTATGAAAGGCGCCTCCTCCGACAGATCGTCATCCAGAATGAAAACACAATGCCATGTGTGAGTACTGGGCCCCTGTGCATGGTCCTAGCCGTGGAATTGGGGGGCGGAGGGTGCCTTCAGCTAGGACTTTCAGCCTTGAGAGAGCAAAGGTGTGGGAAAGCAAGAGAGATCACACACACTGGGGGCGAGATCCCATTCAGCACTTTCTGCTCTTCTCCTGCTGTGGAGCCCCAAGCATCACGTTTCAGACTCCTGTCCTCAGAGGCCCTTGGCCTGATCTCCTTGACGTGTGGGATGCTGGTCCTTCCCCTGGGGCTGTACTCAGAGATCTGAATGAGGAATGAAGGAGTTTGAGCCACCTTCCCATTTTCTAGATGGGTCAGTGAGGGACCCAGAGTCACGAGCTGGGAGGTCTGACTAAGCCTCCAGATGGGGTACCACCGGTTGGAGTCCAGCACAAGTTACTTACTGAATATTCTGCTTCTTCTCCTTGAGTTTCCAAAGTCAAACCCCCTCACCCAGTGGCCAGAGGCCGGGTCCAGAAGACTGACTGGCAGGCCTGGCTGTGGGCTCTGAAAGGAGGGGATGGCCTTGATAGTACTTTCTGGGGGGCTTGTAGGCACCCAGCTCTGCCCTGCCATCCTTATAGGTCGCGGAGATGCGGCGGACCCTGACGCCAGCCAACTCCCCTGTGTCTTCCCCCAGCAAGCACGGAGACCGTTTCATCCCATCAAGAGCCGGCGCCAATTGGAGTGTGAATTTCCACAGAATCAATGTGAGGGGCAACTCTGGAGCAGGGCTGAGGCAGGGAGAAGGGCCACGCTAACCATAAAGCCTGGGGCCAGAGGACGGGTCATTCCAGCTCATGGCCAATAAGGGCGCTCTTTCCCTCCCTTTCTGTAGGAAAACGAGAAGTCTCCCAGTCAGAACCGGAAAGCCAAGGACGCCACTTCAGATAATGGCAAAGGTCAGGAATCAGGCCCCAGCCCAGACCCCCTGTGTCCCCACCCAAGACCACTATCCCAGCCTCACCATGTTTGGTGCTGCAGATGGTCTGGCCTACTCTGCCCTGCTGAAGAACGAGCTGCTCGGAGCTGGCATCGAGAAGGTGCAGGACCCTCAGACAGAGGACCGAAGGCTGCAGCCCTCCACACCTGAGAAAAAGGGCCTCTTCACGGTGAGCCCAGTCTCCCAGCCCACTGCTTCTCCTGCTGGCTGGGGTCAGAGGTTCCTCTCTAGCAGCGCTGGGAGACAGGTGCCCAGCAGGTGAACCAAGAGACCAGGCTTGCCCCTCATCACACCTGCCTACTGTGCTGCATGCCTTCCCTCAAGGCCACCAGTTCTGCCCTCCTTGGGTTTCTCCACCTTGCTCCAGCCCTCCCCAGGGTCCAGAATCCCAAAACAGTGGGAGCCTGTTAATCACCAAGCCTTGCATCAGGCTCAGCCAGGTAGCCAGCACCTAGTGAGGGTAAGGGATGCCTTCTGTCCAGGCCAACTACACTGACCAGGGCTGTTTGGAAAAGGCCTGGCTTAGGGCCCTCAGAGATGCCTGGGGGGATGATGACCTCAAGGGGGCAGGAAAGACAGCCACCACTAGCAGCCATTGCTGGGGAGGAACCTAGTTTTCATCCCTCCGTTTCCAGAACTCAGAGATCCTTCCCCCAGTTGCCACAAGTGCCCTGGATTCTCCTTCCCAGCCATGCCAGAAAAGCAGGGTGCCAAGACTTGGGGGTCTGAGATTCCTGACCTCTGGGAGTATAGCTTTTGCTCAGCAGAGATGTCCTGTCCTCCCCCCACCCCCCAGTATTCCCTCAGCACCAAGCGCTCCAGCCCTGATGATGGCAATGACGTGTCTCCATACTCCTTATCCCCCGTCAGCAACAAAAGGTGAGTCTGTGCCTGCATAGGGTGGGACAGGACGGGCAGGGTGACAGCTGGGTTGTACCTGGGAGCCTTGAGTAGTCCTAGAACTGTGAGCAGGGTAAAGAGGTGGTCCAGAGGACTCCCCTCACTGGACAACACTGTGAACCTGGTGGTTTTGGTTCCAGATTGGGAAGGGGAAGCCAGGGAGGGCTCCCTGGAGGAGGTGCCAGGAAGAGGGGCATATGTGGCTATTAGAGCTCAGGATAGCTAAATACCCAACAACAAAGGGGCTGGGCAGGCACAAGCAGTGGACAGAGGATCCAGGAAATGGGGTAGAGCAAATGGGGTTTCAGGGCTTGAGGGGAGGAGATACTTGGGTCATGCCAAAGAGTGATATTAACCCAGTTGGACTTTATAGTCAGAAGCTACTTCGGTCTCCACGGAAACCCACTCGGAAGATCTCCAAGATCCCCTTCAAGGTCCTGGATGCGCCCGAGCTTCAGGATGACTTCTACCTGAACCTGGTGGACTGGTCATCTCTCAACGTGCTCAGTGTGGGGCTAGGTACTTGTGTGTACCTGTGGAGCGCCTGCACCAGCCAGGTGAGCACCACTGAGCGCAAGTACTGCTGTGTTTGTGTGTGTGCTGTGGGTCTATGGGGCAGCTTCCTTCTGAAGCTGAGCTGAGTCAGGGCTGGGGTGAGGGGAATGATTGTTGCTGGAGTGCCCCAGTGCTCCCCCGACCCCTACGCCCTGCCCTCAGTGTGCAGAATGGGATCCAGGATCAGTCAGCAGTTGTGAGCAGAGACCCATGTCCCTCCCCTCCTGCCTGCATCTCTGCCCGTACCAACAGGAGGAATGGCTCCTGGGGACCACTTCTTGGTGGAGTGGTTCCGTCCCCTCAACCCTCACCCCATGCAACAAGTCTGCAGTAGCTTACAGGCACACTGTGAGCTCAGGACCTGGCCTGCAGGACGCAGAGGTGCTGCCCCCAGGTGTGGGGCATTTTCAAGGATAAAACCAGTTGCAAGTAGGTTCTAAAGGTGAAGGGACCTCTCCCATGCCCCCTCCCCAAGGGAAGGGCCTCACCCCTCCCGGCTGCCCCCGGCATGCCTGTGACCTGCCCCTGCTGGAAGGACCATCTGTGTGATGCCCTTGTATCCAAGCGTCCATCCCCAGGCTCCGTAGTCAGTTGTCCTTGTGCTGGTGGGGCCCCTTCGAGCCTGCAGAGCCACAAGCACCCCAGCTTTATTATCCTGGGTCCCAGCACTGATGCCACTGCCCGTAGGTCTGAGGTGTGGATGAAGAAAGAATGGTGGATGAATGGAAGATTGGCACCTTGATGAACAAGGGCAACACATTGATTCATGCCCACCGTGCCCCTTTCTCCCAGGTGACCCGGCTCTGCGACCTCTCAGTGGAAGGGGACTCAGTGACTTCTGTGGGCTGGTCTGAGCGGGTCAGTACATGGGGTTCATCCCCTGTTGGGCTGGGTTGGCACAGGTTTCTGACCAGGCAGGGGTCCTTCATGACTGTTGGGGGCCTGGGCGAGTCAGAGGGGCCAGAAGCCAACCTGGAATTCAGTGTGCAGCCCTAGAAGTGATATCTGTGCCCCCCTCCTATTCCCAACTTTATACAACAGGTGAGGTTATGGTGGCAAGTGAGGAAACCTGTCATGGACCCTCCCCCCAAAACATGAGGTCAGCCTCAGCCCCCACTCAGGCCCCAGCAGCCATCATGGGCTTGATGGGCAGGCAGCTCCGTGGGCTACAGCAGAGAGGCCCGCCCCACAACAGTAATGCCCTCTGGTCTTCAGGACAGTCGGCCTTGGGAGGAGGCTCGGGCCCTCTCCAAAGTGAGGGCTTTGTGGGTGTCGACTGTTCACAGCTCAGCAGAGCACCACACTCTCTACAATTTTTTTTTTTTTTTTAAGATTGATTTATTTATACAAGCACTGGAGTACAGGCCAGAGGCACGGGAGGGTGAGAGAATTCATCAGAGACAGAGGAGGGAGCAGAACAGGCAGAAGGCCTGTGAAATACACTGCTTAGGGGAGCAGCAGGCTAGACAGGAGAGGTCTACAGCGCCATGTGGGAATCTCCCTGGCCGGCCGGGAATCATACCGGCGCTGCAGAGGCTGCGAACAGCTTCACAGCGCTGTGCTCAACCTGCTTTGCCACCGGGGATGCCCTCTACAATTCTTAAAGAAATGATAAAGTGAGGGAGACCCTGGGTCCAGGCCAACCCAAGGCGATAACCCCTGTTGTGGCCTGATACCCCCTTTTGCTGTGTCGTCATCCTAGGGGAACCTGGTGGCTGTCGGCACGCACAAGGGCTTTGTGCAGATCTGGGATGCCGCTGCAGGGAAGAAGCTGTCCATGCTGGAAGGTCACACAGCGCGTGTTGGTGAGCAGCCTCCAAGGTCCCAGGGGAAAGATGTGGGTTATCCCCCCAGAAGTCCAGGGAGGCCAGACCCTGGTCTCACTTGTTCTCTACCTGGCCTCCAGGGGCGCTGGCCTGGAATGCTGACCAGCTCTCATCTGGGAGCCGGGACCGCATGATCCTGCAGAGAGACATCCGCACCCCTCCCCAGCAGTCTGAGCGGCGACTACAGGGCCACCGGCAGGAGGTGTGTGGCCTCAAGTGGTCCACGGACCACCAGCTCCTCGCCTCGGGGGGCAACGACAACAAGGTAGGTGCCCCAGCCCCTTGGACTCCCAGCCTTGGTCCATCCCTCCTGCCTGGCCACTCCCCCTCCATAGAGCAGGGGTGATCGGTGCCTACAAGGGAGAACCATCATGGGTCGATGGGGCCAACCTAGGCAGGAGTTTCAGCCACCTGTGGCTCATGCCCACTGCCCTGCAGCTCCTGGTGTGGAACCACTCAAGCCTGAGCCCCGTGCAGCAGTACACAGAGCACCTGGCGGCCGTGAAGGCCATCGCCTGGTCCCCGCACCAGCATGGGCTGCTGGCGTCTGGAGGTGGCACAGCCGACCGCTGCATTCGCTTCTGGAATACACTCACGGGCCAGCCGTTACAGTGCATCGATACAGGCTCCCAGGTGTGCAACCTGGCCTGGTCCAAGCATGCCAACGAGCTGGTGAGTATCGGTGTGGTGTGGTGTGACCGCCCTACCCCTCCAGGCAGACCCAGCACCCAGAGCGTGTGCTGCATGCTCACTTAGGTAGAAGCAAATGTGGCCATCTGGTGTGTGGGAGTCAGGGCCCCAGGGTGAGGGGAGGGAGCCCGAGTCCCAACAGCAGCCTCTTGTCCCCAGGTGAGCACACACGGCTACTCACAGAACCAGATCCTCGTCTGGAAGTACCCGTCCCTGACCCAGGTGGCCAAGCTGACTGGCCACTCCTACCGAGTCCTTTACCTGGTGAGTCTGCCTGTGAGTTCTCAGGGGCGCACTGGGGTGGCCAAGAGCAGTGGGCTCCTCCCCCTGGGCGTAGGAGGGAGTGTGGGCACCCCAGCTCAAGACCTGGGACCGAGAGCCTCTCCTGCTTCCAAATGGTAGCTTGGGTCCTGCTTTGAATCAGCTTTGCTGGGCACTGTACCCCTCGTGGAGAATCTCCACGTTTGCTTACACACACACACACACACACACACACACACACACACACGTACATGCACCAGCCTGCATGTAACCCACATCCGGCCACTCACACCATCTCACAGTGGGTATTTTACCAGGTAACTCTTTGCACGTGGCTGAGAAAGGAGCTCCTCTCCCCAGATTCACTCTTCAAAGGTTTTTTGCTTCCAGAAGAAAATGTTTTGTGCTTAAATTGTCATTCCCTTTGCCTGAGGACCCAGACTAAACCTCTTCCTTGCAAGAAGAAGGGGTGTTCGTGGTGTTTTCATGAAGAGCTCCAACCGCAGCCCTGTCCCTGCAACCTCAGCCTTCCCTTCCCAGCAGAAGCCTGGAGGGCCTGGCCCCCGCCTCAGCTCTGTCTGAGGGCCGTCTGGGGGGCACAAGGATGAAGAGTCTCTTTCTTCCTCAGGCCATGTCCCCTGATGGAGAGGCGATAGTCACTGGTGCTGGAGATGAAACCCTGAGGTTCTGGAATGTCTTTAGCAAAACCCGTTCAACAAAGGTAAAGTGGGTCGGTATCAGCACCAGGTGTTCCGTGAGCGCATTTCTCAGTCTGCCCCAAGGGCTGTGCCCCCCACCCACTCACAGCCCTGTTTACCCTTTGGACTGTAACCTCGGAGGGGGGCGGTCTCTGCTGAGACCCTTGTGCCCCCTCTCTTGGGTTGCCACAGGGCACCCCCGCGCTCGGGACTTAGTGCCGCCACACATCTCAGGGGCACTGGTGAAGGTTCCCACACAGGCCCCCTCCAGCCAGTGTTTCAGTTTCTCTCACGGCAAATTTGTCTTCCACATGGAAGCTGTCTAATGCCCACCCTGAGGCCTGGCCAAGGAGCTGGCACTTGAGTCCCATCTGAGGCCCGAGACTCAGCCATCCCTCCTGTGTGCTCTGCAGGAATCTGTGTCCGTTCTCAACCTCTTCACCAGGATCCGGTAAACCTCTGGATGCGCCCTCTGGGTCAGAAGACCACCAGCTCTCGTCAGCGTGCATGGACCCCCCCCAGCACACAGTCCCCAGATGAACGCAGCCGGGGTGGGACGGGGAGCCGGGCCTGGAGAGCCCCTGAAGATTGTCATTAAAACCTGATTTCCAACCCTGTCAGCCGCTGTTTGGGGCGGGAGTGTGGTCGGGCACCGTCAGGGATGGAGCTGTCTCCCTGCACACGGCAGCCCCACGGCCTGACTGGACCTCTGTGCTCGGAGCAGCGCACGCACCTCCCAGGACCTCACCAGCTCCCGTTCATGTCGTCACTGCCTCGTCGGGGCTGCATGCTCTCCCAGAAGTGTGTGCTTGCCGCCGCCACTGCCTCGTTTGCAACTGACAGCGGATGCCCGGCCGGCGAGCCGGTGAAGTGCCCTGCAGAGGACCCAGCACCCGGGCCAGGGGGCAGAGGGACAGTCCCTCCTGGTCCTGGTTTCCTTCCGGCCGCCTCCGCCTACCCAGCAACCGTCCTGGTGACTGTCGGCTGTGGCTCGGCGGCGGGAGCTGGGCGGGCTCCACGCTGAAGATCATCTCACAATGGACTTGGTGTCCAAGGAAAACGGAAGTGTGACCCCTTGCTCACCCTGACCCCTGCCCTTCCTGTCACTCCACGGTCACAGCTGAGCCCTGTCCCCAGATGGAACTCGGCTCCTGTGACTTGGCTCCTGGCCGTCAGTGCGTGGCCTGAAATGTGCCCCGAGAGCCAGGTCCCCTGGCACCTGCCCCTGCCCGGCCCTTCCCTCCAGGCCACCAGGCTGGGTTCTTTCTCTTTACCAGGGAAACCGGGGGAGGCGCACCTGCAGGGATGGCCCCCTCTGTATGCCCTGGGCTTCCCTGACCTCTGCTCCCACGTCCTCCTCCCTGCCTCCAGCTGCGTTGGGCCCGTCGCCTCCCACTGGAGAAATGGGAGGGGGGAAGGGGGGTGGCGTGTGGCCAGGGAAGGGCCACACGAGCCCCATGGGTTGCCCTGGCTGTGCGTGGGGACCCCATCTCTAGGTTCTGACAGATTTGTCATGGATGTGCATGTGTATATATGTATTTGTGACTTTTCTTTGGATTTGTTTTATGTATTTGTAAATTGGTCCGAGAAATGTTTAAGGCTAGTTGGGGGCGGGGGGGCGCCCGCTGTGCCTCATGTAAAGGAGGGGGTGAGCGAACCTGCTTGAATTCTGGGAGGGTAAGGGACCCTTCTGCCTGGCCCGTCCTGGCGCCTGCCTGCCACAGGGACAGGTGAGGACCCCATGTACATAGATGTGGGTGTTTCCATCAGTCAAGATCTTTTTGTTTGTTTGAGTCTTTTTTTTTTTTTTTCCTTTCTAAGAAAATGATTCCGTCTGGACTGCGCTGCCTCCCTGTGCCATTGCCAAAGCGCCCAGGGGCTGGCTCGGGGGCTGGGTAGTGTCCGCCTGAGGGTGGAAAGGAGGGCTGGCCCCGGCCCCGGGGCAGAGTGCGCCTGTTCTCGCATACCATGGTTGGGGCCGACTGTCTCCCGCGCCTGACTCCTGGCCCCGGCCCAACCTGAGCGCTCCTAGAAGGATGGGGAGTGGCCTGCCCTGGGCCAGTGGGCTGGAGAGGCCACTTGGGCATCTTCAGGGGACACAGGTGTCCCCAGTTCCTGGTCTAGTGGATTCATGCCAGTCCTTGGAGCCCAAACCAGGGTGTGTCCCAGCAGTCAGGAAGAGGTGCCCATCCTAGTCTCCGTCAGGAAGTTGCCAGGGGAAAGAGGAGGGGGCAGGTCGCGGGGGGGGGAGATTGGGGGCCCCACACAGTGGCTCTCAGATGTGGCAGGTGATGTTGCCTCCTCCAGGATGGGGACATAGCAGGGTGCGCCCCATACCCCATACCGGCGAGGCTGGAAGATGGCAGCAGAGGTTGAGTGGAGTGGCAAGACTTGTCTTGGGTTTCATGGCCCTCACATGTTGACTCAGCTGTGAAGGGGAGAGGAGTTGGTGACACTGGTAGCGGAATGTGAAGTGACAGGCGCAGAGAAGGGAGGTGTGGGGCTTGCGGGGGGGGGGGGGCGCATCTGAGGCATCTGCCCAGAGCAGCTGCCCTGACTGGTGGGGCACGCCGGCCTGTCCCTCCCCGTGATGGTCCCCGTCCTGGACACCAGCGGCAAGCTGCTCTCCCGGGGTGTCGCGTGAGTGGGTGATGCAATGGAAGCTCATGTAGCTTCACTGGTGGGCACGAGGCCTCGAGAAAGGGCAGTTTTAAATCGGGGTTTTGCTAAGGGCCTGAGGAAGAGCTGGGGGGCTGGGGGCACCTGGGCAAGAGAGCGCCAGGCAGTGGATGCGCATGCGCAGGCGGGGGGGGGCAGGGTGTTGCCAGGTATGTTGAGAAACAGGCGGCGCACTAGGGGATGCAGGCAGGGAGGGGACTAGGCAGGTGATACGGAGGGGGACTTGGGCTTCGGCCCGGAGGAAGGGGGGCCCTGGGTGTGTGCTGGGGTGGGGAGAGGCGCAACTACTGTGCGCACACCCACGGCAGGTACAGAGGGGGACGGCCTCTGCTCCAGCCCAGCGGGCAGCTTGACGGGCCTCGGACAGGGGGAGGTGGCGCTGTGAAGTACAGTTTACCATCTTAAAGTCAGCGATTTAGTAGCGTGTGGCGTTTACGGAGTTGTCCACCACCGTGCTCGATTATAGAATATTCCATCTCCCCCAAAAGAAGCCCTGGGCCCCATCAGCATTTATCTCCAGCCCCTGGCACCATGAACCCCACTTCTGTCTCTCTGGACGTTTCTCGTCAGTGGACTCGCACCGCGTGGCCTCGTGTGTCTGGCTTCTCTCCCCGAGTGGCGTGTTCGGGCCCCTCCCCTCGGTGGCCTGTGCGCCCCCTCCTTTTCATGACTGAGTCATACTCCAGTGTGTGGCGGCCGAGCCGATGCGTGTCCAACCATCGATGGGCTGTTCTCTGTTGTGAATCATGCTGCTGTGAATATTCTCGTACACGTTTTGCTCTGGATGTGTTTTGGAAACGGAAATGAAGGGCTGGCTGGGGGAGTGAGAAGGGAGGAGTTGGGGCTTGGAGGCTCCCAGCTAGAAGGCCTGCAAGGGTGGAGCTGAGGAGACCCCTCTGTGGGGATGTGGGGAGAGGCCCCTGGTCAGTGTGTGAGGTGCAGGGGTTCAGCGGCTCCCCACCAAGGCGTGTCTCCACCCCCAGCAGCCCCTGTGCCCTTATCCTAGCTCCTCAGCTGGGGAAAGGAGGGAGTGGCCTGGATGGCCAGCCTGGCCCGCCGTTGCCAGGACACCCTGGGTGGCCTTTGTCCAGTCAACAATGCTCCCACATGCCTTCTCAGCGGGAGCGCCAAGGGACCCAGAGGCAGACATGCAGACCCTGAGGCGGGAGGCCACCAGGCCCTACATCCCCCGGCGGACCCTGGAAGTGGACTTCCCGGCATCTCTGTACAGGTAGGCCCCCTGGAGCCCCTAAATCGAGCCTGAATCCTCCCCTCCTCTTGGGGTTTTGGGCCTGATTGGATTTGGCTCTCCTAGTGTCTACTTCTTTGTCAAAGGCACGTCCGTGCTACACCCTCTGCCTCACCCCAGCCTGGCCGGTCCCTGCGCTGCCTCCCCACCTCCCTGCCGCTCGGCCCCCACCGGCCCTCCCTGCACTCCGAGCCAGGCGAGTGTGCGCTGGTCACCACGCACAGAAACGTGTCCTCTCCCGAGATCCGCGTGGGCAGATTGGTTCCTTTTGAGGCCATGAGGGAGCGTCCCTTGCTCTGCAGCTCAGGCAGGGTCCAGCGTCCTTGGCGTCCTTTGGCTCCAGCCTCTGCCGCCATCTTCACCCGGCTCGTCCCCGTACGTCCATGTCCATGTCGGGTCCCCCTCCTGACAAAGACCAGGCATTGCGGTAGGGGCACCCTAAGCCGCTGTGACCTCGCCCTAATGGGCAACATCTGCTAGACCCTATTTCCAAGTCAGGTCACCTCCTGGGGCCCTAGATGGATGCTGTTCCGCCCAGTGGGGAACCCATTAAGTGACAGTCTGTGCAGCTGGAAAGCAGCCAAGGTCCTTGTGCCACTGGCGCCGCTCCACTCCCGCGCGGTAGGGAGGGAAATGAGGGAGTTGAGTGGCGCAGGTTTCCACATTGGTGTAACGAAAGGGGCACACACACTTGCACACCCACCCCCTGCTCGTTGCTGTAAGAAAGCAGAAGAAATGAAGACAAGCGGCAGCCGCGCGGGAGCCCCCGGTTCATCGGGTGCTGTTTTATTGTTTACTTGCATTTACACACGACGTGCATTTTCAGTCCAGAGTGCTGCAGTTGTGCAGGACCCCAGAACCCAGCCGGGGTCCGGTTCCTGAGGCTGGTGGTCCAGAGCCCACCAGCCCGAGTCTGCCTTGGGTGAGACTCAGGAGTTTCTGGTTTCCTGTGCTCTGATGAAATCCACCAGAGCAGCTTCTAAGCTAGGCCCTCGGTGCAGCAACCCCACGGGCACCCCCTTGGGGCAGACACTTCAGCCCCCTCTCCCCAGGGTGGAAACCGGTTTCTGCTTAAGCAAGCAGCCTCCCCAGCCTTGGGGTCCGGCACTGAAGGCTATATGTGATGCAGCAGCGTGGGGCCGGGGGAGGCCCTTGAGCCTTGGCCAGGCCTTTGTATCCTCCATCCTGGCCATGAGGTCACAGGGCCCATTCTAGAGCTGGGCAAGCTGAAGCTAGGGGAGGGGCAGGGACAGCATAGGCTCAGCCTTTGTCCCCCCCAAATCCCCTACCCCTAGCGATGACTATCTGTCCCTGGAGGGACCCCGCTGGACGCCGGCCATCAAGCAGGCAACATGTTGGAAGTACACGCCCATGGGAAGAGACGCAGCCGGTCAGCACTGGTACACTGGCCTGACTAACTCGGACTCCCGAGAAGCCTGGTACACGCTCCCTCGGGCCCTGGACAGCCCCCACCGAGAGGCTTACACCCGCTGGCACGGCTGCCATGGCCACCGGGAGCACAGCATGCCCTCGGGTGAGTGTTCAGTCCCGCAGGACCCACGCCGGGCCGCGGGCAGGGACCAGAGATGACTTCCCTCCCTCCCCACAGCCTACACCCAGCGCCTGCGGGAGACATCCTGGTACGACCCCGTGATCCCGGCCCAGTACAAGGACCCCAGCACTCGGTGGGGGAGCATGCTGTGGACAGACAGGCCCATCCGGGGCAAGGAATACGGTGAGGCGAGGGACCGGGCGCCGGGGCGGGGGAGCATGGCCACCCTGGGTCAGGAAGCCAGGGACAGGAGGTGACGAGGGTCCCGGCCCCACAGTGCTCAACAGGAACCGATACGGGGTGGAGCCGCCGTGGCGGGTGTCTGACTACGTGCCCTACCTGTCGGCGCCCCAGCGCCCCCACTACACCACCCAGAACTACCGGCAGTGGGACCTGGAACCCTACTGTCCCTCTACCAAGCAGCGGCCCCCACCCGTCTACACGCCCACTCACTGATAAAGACCATGCTGCCAGCCTGCGGCTCTCTGCTTGGCGCGGGGAAGACCGGGGAACGTGGCCCTCGCCCCACTGTCCCCTTCCAGGGCCCCAGGCAGACAGCCGAGGCGCAGTCCTCACCCACGGGTGACTTTATTTATGGTCAGCGGCACTCCCTGCAGCTGAGGCCTGGGCCAGTCCCCAGCGCCGAGTCCTGGAAGGCTCAGTGCTGACGCCATCCTCCAGGGGCCTGAGCGTCTGCCCCCGCATTCCGGAGTGCAGCCCAGATCATCCAGAGAGCTGGGCTGGAGTGGTTGGGAGCGGGGCGACTCCCAAGCCTGCCAGACCCCATGGGCCCTGGATACCAGAAGGTCCAGCTAGGTGTCCCCACTGGGTCCTGCCCATCCTGTCCGGCCTTTCCCACCAGTCCTGCATCCAGGCAGGGGTGGGGGCCGAGGATCTGAGAAGTGGGGTTGGGCTGCTCTGGAAGCCTCTGCTGAGCATCCCATGTGTGCACAGCTGCGGTTTGCCTGCAGCGGGCAGGAGGCCTAGGGGAGTCAGGGTTGAGCTCCAGGCTCCCCTGCAAGAGAAGGGGGGAGAGGGGTTAGTGAGCCGTAGGACGAGCCCCTCCCTGTCTCGGCCCTCCCACCCATGGCTGGTTTGGGATTTTATGGGGGAGTCAACAACTCACAGCTCCGAAGGCGGATGGGCCAAACAAGCAGACTGCACAGAGTGAAGGTGGCGGCCACGCCCACACCACCGGTCACGGCCACCATGACCCAGTGGTAGAAGCCCACGCAGGCCCTGCAGCAGAGCTCCGAGCTGGGGGGAGGCAGAGTGTGTGAGCAGAACCTGGAGACTCCCTCCAACCCCACCTGGGCCTCCCACCTCAGACGAGGGCAGCTTTTCTGGGCACTCAGGCCCGAAGCTGGGGGTCACCCTGGACCCAGTCTCCTGCCGCTCTGACACACCATCCAGTACTGTTGACTCTGCCTTCAAAATCTTTCCAGAAGCCACTCATTTCTGCCCCTCCTCAGCCCCCATCAGGTCCACCCCATTGTTACCAGCCTGGATCGATGCAGTCCGCAACTCCACCCTCACTCCACATAATCCGTCCTCCCTGAAGCAGCCCAGGAGGTGCCCATGAGCACCCAAGTCAGGTCCCGCCCCTTTGCCAACCGCTGGGAGGGAGGGTAAAGGCAGAACCCAAGATGCCCGTGGCCCAGGAGGACCTGCACAACCTGCACCACCCCTCCCACTGCGCCAATCACGTGGGTCTCCTGGCTGCCTCCAACGTGCCAGCCCAGTCCTACCCCGGGGCCTTTGCATGCATTGTGTCCATTTGCCTAGAACTGCCAGGCCTCCGGTCCTAGACCACCTCCTCAAGGAAGCCCTCCTGACAACCTGCACCAGTCAGACCTCTGTAAACAACCCCTCACCACTGGATAACATATTTATTTGTGCAATTATTAATGTGGCTGGCATCACCCCAGCTCTGTGAGGACAGGGGACCAGGCCAACTTTGGTTCCCAGATCCTGAGCTTCTATAAGGCACAAAACTCAATGGTCTCGCACCATCTGGATCTGGAACCCTCATTTCTAAAGGTCTGAGTCTCCCTCTCTGGTATCCCGCACCCACTCCCCTCACATTCCCCCTGATGTTTGTGCTGCGTCCTCAATGCCCAGGACAACATTCAGCATTTGTTGAATGAATAAACAAAGTGCCCAAGGTAAGGAACAACCAAGCCTCCCAGCCTGTGCCCCCCACCCGGGTGGGGTCTTTCTCCACACTGAGTCCTCAGACTTGGAGTAGGGCCTGCACACAGCACACGCCCAGCAGGCTCTTCCTAACGAGGGAGCGAATGAGTGGGCGGTGGCACTCACGTGCAGGGGTGCAGGCTCTGGATGACCATGACTGCCAGCCCGTTGGCTACCTTATCCGAGAAGCTCATGGCGCCATACACGAAGGCTCCGCTGTGCTGGGGGGATGCAGGCGAGGGAGGTCAGTGCCCACAGTCCCAGCTCTGGTCCCAGCCCCAGCTGGCCCTGCCCACCAGCCCTACCGTGTGGGAGCCAATGAGGTCGGCTGTCATGGCCAGTGAAGTGACAAGGATGGTGGCACAACCGGTGCCCAGCAGTACGGCTACCGCATACACAGCCACGCCCAGCTCATCTGCCAGCGCCACCCAAGCTGCAAAGGCCAGGATCACCAGGAGGCCCGAAAAGTAGGTCATCTGTGGAGGAGGCCAGCCTGGCGTCAGGCTCACTTCGGGGTACCTGCCTCTCTGCTCTTCAGTCTGCCTTACACACCCCCACCCCTCCGCCAGCAAAGGAGGGGTCAAGTTGGACTGTCCAATTCTGACCTCAGGGAATTCGTAGACCCTGAGGCTGCACTGCTGATGCCTGGGAGCTGGGCAGCCTGATGCTGCTGCTGCCGCCAGACTGTGGCTGTTTACGTCTAAATGTGAACCGTTTAAAATTAAAATGAAGGATTCAGGTCCTAGGTCATGTAACGTACGTTTCAAGCACTCAATGGCCACACCTTGCTACCACACTGGACACACAAAGTTCTAGAGTTCCTCAGCCCTAGTTCTCAGTCTTGAGTACCTGAGATGCTCAGAATCTAGGATTCTAGAATTACTGGTTTCCAGACCCAGGGATCAACAAGGTGCAGATGAATATTGTGGCCTGTACTCATCCAAGTGCTAGAGGTCTGAGCTCACAGCTGAGGCCCCGCACCTCCACCCAGCCCCCACCGGCAGCCACGCCCACTCACATTCCTCCCGATGCACTTATTGACCGGCTTCATGAGGAAGGAGGAGAAGAAGCCGCTGAGGTACATCACTAGTGGGATGGTGGCAATGAATTTCTGCAGGGGCAGAGTTAGGTATGTGCATTATACAGGTGCGGCTCCACGCTGGGCCTCCCCCCACCCCCACTGCCGCCGCTGCCCCCTGCCAGCTCACCTTGGGCAGTTTGAGGGAGTAGGTGAGGTACATGGCCATGTACGTCTGGGACAGGTTCACAATGAGCCTGGTGCTCATGTACAGCAAGCCCACCTGTGGACAGACCACCGGGAGTCAGCGGCGCTTCCCTCCCACCCGCAGGGGCGCGGGGGCCCTAGGGGAGCACCCACGGCTGGCACGCAATGCACTAGCGGTGGCTGCCAATGGAAGTGCAGTGGGTTGGCATGGAGAAGCTACTGTGTTTCCTCCTGCATTTGCCATCCCTGCCTGCTGCAGGGCAGTACGGGGCTTGAAGGGCAAGGGGCATCAACTCTAGGCCCCTCCACCAACCCTCCCCACCATGACATACCTGGTAAAAGGCTGGTTCCCGAAGCCAGTGGTTCCACAGCAGCAAGGGCCTGGCAGTAGCGGGGGCCAGCAGGGGGGTGTGTTCATCTGGCTCCGCCACCTGGGGCCGGCGCCCCTCCCTGGTGCCCAGGTGAAACAGTAGGGAGAAGACTGCTCCCACGCCCACCACCAACAGGGAGAGGTTCTGGGGAACAGCAGGAGAGGGATCAGCGGCAGTTCTCATGACCTGAACCCCAGGTTCAGGGCCTTTGGGGTGTCCCACCAGCCAGCAGCGGCCTTGGCCCACCCTGGGGCCCAGCTCACCCGGAACACCGGCACATCTTGGACCCCCAGCTGGTCACTGATGTCCTCGGCAGGCCCCACGTGTGTGGAGCCCTGCAGGTGCAGCAGGAGCCAGGCAGCACCATAGACAGTGATGTTGGCAACCACGGTGAAGGCATACCTGGCGCGGCAGGAAAGCCCTCAGTTTAGGCAGTAACCACACGGCCACTTCCTCCCCAGGTCGGAGCTGTTTGTGGTGTCTGGGGGATCTCTGGCTGATGGGTGATTTCAGCCACTAACACATCAGGAGGCCCCAGGGAAGCCCTGCTGGCCTCAGTTTCCCCCAACCAGCTAGCTGATGATTACAGCTGTGACCCACAATGCGACTGGGATATCGCAGCTGCAGGAACCGGGGTACAGACTCTCCAAACTGGGGCTAAGGCAGGGCTGCAAACCCCAAGTCTGAGAACCTGAGATGCTCAGAAGCCAGGATTCTGCCACCAAGGAATTCTTGGTTTCCATATCCTGGGCTTCAACAGGGCAAGGGCTCCATGGTCTAGAATCATCTGCAGCCCGGAATCATGACCCTCTAGGGGCTTGGCCAGAATGGGTACGCGTGTGCGTGTGCGTATGAGTGGATCTCACCAGGGCTGTTTCTGAAAGTGGTAACAAGCCCACCCACAGCGCTCAGAGAGGACCTGAAGCTGGCAGGAAGTGCCCGCAGGTGGAAAATGTGCCCTCAGTCTGACCAGCTGGGCCCCATCCACTGGGCCCCTGGGAGGCCCAGGCATTGGGTAACCCCATCGTTCGTGCCCGGGAGCACCCGGCCAGAATGGGGAACTCAGAAGCAGGGCGGGGGAGGAGGCGGCCCGCCTGAGCAGAACCGGTGTCAAGCGGGCTGGTTTGAAGACACGTGGACCAGTCACAAGATGCTGTGCAAAGAGCAGGAGGACCCTTTCCCGGCACCCGTGGTGAGGTGGGCCTCCAGCCTTGTGCCACCTTCGCCTGAGCTGCCCCTTCCTGCTGGAATCAGCACTCCTGTGCCCGCTTCCTGCTGTGTAAGCAGACAGGGACCCACTCTGCTCAAGCCTGGTGTTAGCATGTGACCTCTCGGGTTTGTTGTAAGGAAGGAATTGTAAGGAAGACATTCTCTGCCATGTACACAGCAGTCACCCCATAAATGCTCCCATTATATCAGCACTAACCCCTTTAAGGACCTCACATAAGTTGACAGACAAGCAGGCACTCACTGTACCCGTGTGCAAAGGACAGGAGTCCCAGACCACCTCAGAGTGCCCCAAGCCCCGGTCCTGCCCTCATCCCCTGCTGTGGGGATGGCCTATGGTGTGGGTGTCACTCCTAGGTGAAGGTAACAGTCTGTGGCAAAGGGAAAGAGATTTGGTGGATGTATTTGAGCCCTTAACCAGTCTTCATTCATCGGAAGAGTATCCTGGGTGGGCCTGACCTAATCAGGCGAGCCCTAGAAAGCGAGCTCAGGCCTTCCTGGACATCCCAGAGTCCGGCCGGCCTCAGAGCAGCAACGAGCCACACGTGCAGGAAAATGAATTCTGCCACCACCAACTACACGAGCACAGCAGAAAGACCCCACGCCTCCGATGGGACCCCAGCCCCTGACACCCGATGACAGCCCCGAGACCAGTACCAGACCCCCGACCCGCAGAAGCCGGGAGGTGATAAATGTGTGGTTTCAGGCCTCTGGCTTCGTGGTCACTTGCTACATGGCAACGGCTGACTGACCGCCCACGAGAAAGGGTGGCCCCAGCGCCACTGCCCTGTGGTGCCCCCTGCCCTGCCCGCCGGGGTGGTACCTGAGGGCCGTGAGCTCCACCTTCTCCTGGTCGTTGGTGACAAGCTCGGGGATGAGGCTGAGGTGGGCGATCTGGGTGGCGGCCCAGCCAAACTGGAAGATGACGATGAAGGGCGCGTAGTACAGGAGGGCGGCCCACTCGGGCGTGGCGGCCCCGCAGCCCAGGCAGGGGCTGAAGATGAAGGGGAAGGAGAGCAGGACGCAGATGGTGCCTGGGGAAGGCGGGAGGGGTGCAGGTCAGGCTCCACGTCTGCCCTCAGCCCGGGGCTGGGGGGAGGTGGCGGACGGGGCGCGACACAGACACAGACAAGGCCAAAGTCAGCAGTCCAGGGCAGGGGGCTGGCAGCCTGGGGCTCCCCAGGTTTCTGGCCCCTTTGGCAAATGGGGAAACAGGCAGAGAGTTCTGGGGTGCCCTGAGGTCACAGAGCAAACAAGCCAGAGGGTCCAGGCTTCCACCCGCCGATTCGGGCTTGTGTTTAATGGGGAAACTGAGGCACAGAACACATTACGCACCCTGAGGGCACACGCTGTAACTAGCACGGGGGCGGGGCCAGAACACTTGTCCAGGTGCCCAGAAGGGGCAGGAGTGGCACTCTCTCACACACACACACACACACACACACACACACACACACACACACACGAGGTCGGAGTCCTGGGGAATTGGCGCCCTGGGGAATGCCTGGGGGCCAAAGCCCTGAGGCAACACAGCAGGTTGGAGTGGCCCTTGAGGACCCTGATGACCGCCCATGGCAGCCCCTCCCTGCCCTGCCCAGGAGCGCCCTTCTGTCCCCAGCTCCCATCAAGTCTGTGCGGCCACCGGGAGGCAGGAGCCAGGAGAAGCCCCACGGCCCCTGGCCTCCGAGTCCCAGTGTCGCCCCCAGCCTGTAAAGGGGCCTCTTCACGGACCACACTCAGAACAAGCCCAAGCCCGCCCTGTATCCCCAAGCCCTGCATGACCTGCCGACCCCTCCCTCCCTCTGCTCCAGCCGCTGGGGCCTCCTGGCTGTTCCTCCCACAAGCCAGCCGCCATCCTGCCCCAGGGCTGTGCCCTCTGTCTGGAGCGCCCATCCCCTCACATCGTAGCAAGGCGGGGCCCTGTTCATCCCTCAGGACTCAATTCAAATGGCACTTCCCCCCAGAGAAGGTCCCGGCACCAGCAGCCCCCGCAGCCCGACACCATCTGGACTCCACTCTCCTTCCTTCCTTTGGACGCCTTTGCGCACACGCAGGAATTCCCCTGTCCATACGCCTGCCGTTTCCTGTCAGCCGCCCCCACCAGCCTGGGGTCTCTGTGGGTGGGTATAATAGGTCTCTCAAAAGTCACTCCTGTGTCCCTGGCACCTAGCCCGAGATTGGCACATCACTATCTCCTGAATGATGAAAAATAATAATAGTGGATTCTGCTTATAGCCCAAAGAGATGGATGTTATTATCTCTGTTGCCCAGATGGAAAAACAGAGTAAGCCACAGAGCTAAGAATCCAGCTGCTGGTCCCCAAACTTCAATCCTTCACTCCAGCCCTGCACTTCCTCCCTTCCAGGAGCTACTGGAGGAGGCCAGGACATGCTTGCCAGCGAGACTGACTTCCCCCCTCCTCCCAACAGCTCCGGAGGTGACCTCATCCCCGAGACCCTGGGCCTATCCCCGCAGTCCTGGGATTGGGGAAATGAAACCAAAACCACCCTTTTGTTTCTCTGGAACTGGTGCCTGGGAGAGACTTCCTGGTAGAGTGCTGGGGGCCTGGGGGCACCCCAGATTAGGCACAAACTGTTGACTCTAGTCAGAATAACATGCTGCCCTGGCCAAACTCCAAGTTAACCATTGTGTGGGCCGGGCAGCCTGACTGGGAGACCTTAGGCTAATGACTTTGCCTCTTTGGGCCTTTATTTATACAAGCACTGGGTACAGTCAGAAGCGTGGGAAGGTGAGAGAATTCACCAGAGCCTGAATGGGGAACAGAACAGGCAAACTGACGATATACACTGCTGAGGGGAGCAGCGGGCGTGGCAGGAGAGGTCTGTCACGCCATGTGGGACCCTCACCAGTAGGGGATCGAACCGGCGCTGCAGAGGCTGCGGGCAGCTTCACAGCCCAGCACTCAATTGCTGTGCCACCAGGGGAGGCCCTGGGCCTCAGTTTTTAGAAAAGGGAGATAATGGCACTTATTGTCAGCATAAGAATTAAGAATGAGTGTAAAATTGAGGAGCTCCTGCTACTTACACCAAGCCACCTTGTGCCTCATCAACTTCAAATCCATATTTCACACCTTTGTGTGTGCTGTTGATGACACACATGTGCTCCTACTCATCCTTCAAAACCCCAAAGTTGATATCCTCTCTGCTGGAATTCTGCTTCTTCCTAATGAAACCTACCCCATGGGAATGAATGTCCATATATGGTTTTAAGGGCCCTCTCTGGAATAAAGGGGGATCCCTGAGAGCTTTGCTAAGGGGAAAAGTGAGTCCATTATCCTCACCCACAGATCCAGGGGTGAAATTAGAGAAGTGGGCACTGTTGCCAAAGCGACCTTTACTGAAGTCACCACATCAGGTGTCAGCCTGAAACTACCTTGTCAGCCTGGAACTACCTTGTCAGTGAGTCCACATGATCATAGACAATGTGGCATTCGAGGTGTGGGTGCAGCTCTGCTGACAACCCCACACTGCCAGAGAGGGTCCCTGCTAAAGTCCACCTTCACACAAGGAGCTCATAATCTCAGTCTCCTGCCTCTCCCTGTTCCCTTTGACGGTGGCTATAGTCTAAAGGGACCCAAGAACAGACCGGGTGTCTCCAGTGCTTAAGAAACCTGAATTCCAATGCCGCCCTCCCCCCTCCACCGCCCCCCTCCACTGCCCCTTGGCCACTTGCAGAACTGCTGTGTCTTGCAAAATCATCTCTCAAGAATGCTTGAGGCAAATCATATCTCCCTGGTCATTGTTCACAGAGCAAGGAGACACCACCAGCTCCTCCTGGCTTCTAGAAGTCTGTAGCCCAGAATTCCCAGGAGTGGGCAGAACTCCTGGCCCTGCCTCCTAAATTCTCAGCAGGCCCCAAACGCCAGGGTTTAGCAAGCACTTCTGCCACGGAGAGCGGCTGGGGCTAATCTCAAGGCCCAGAGTCCAGGTGGGCAGCGAAGGGTCACCTACCAGGAGGGAGGCATTATCCTGGGGTGCACAGGGACAGGGTGTGCCAACCCATATGGAACCTGCCTCCTCCCCTCACCAACAGCGCTCTGGTCCAGCTAACAGCTGCAGAAGAGTGTGACCCCATTACACCCCGGCACACCTCCTGCCCCACCGGCCTGTGTGGGACAGAAGCAGGGCACAGACCCTGATTCTTGTCTCAACTCTCAGCTCCGAAGGCAACCCCCAAATCCTCCCAGCACCAGGTCACCAGAGATGAGGCAAGGGATAGGACCGACAGGCAGAGAGGCAACTCGACGCAGCTTGAACCTCAGAGTTGCCAGGGCCATCACCCGAAGGGCAGATGGACGCGTCAAGGCAGAGCAGGCTGACAGCTAGCACCGCGCAGTCAGACCCAACCAGTCAGGGCTGGGGTTGACTCTCTGGGTCAGAGAGACGAGGAGAGGCCACCTGCAGGACCCCAGCCCGAGGCCGCCGGGAGGGGAGGGCTGGCCACGGGAGAGGCACAGACTGATAAGCAGACAGAGGGGGAGGCTCCTGGGTCGGGCAGATAGAGGTCTAAGCAGTTGCACACACCGGGCGGGGCGGGTCACGGGGCACTGACACCGAGGGGCGGCTCAGGTGCGGCAGACACAAGGAGGAAGCAGGCTCGAGGAAACAGGGCGAGCGAGGCTCGGGGCGTCTGGCGGGGACAGGCAGGAGGCGCTGGCCCCGGGGGCGCCACGTCGGGTGCTGGGCAGGGCCGCGCGGCGGGAGGCCGGGGACAGGACCACAGCGGAGCCGGGCAGCGGGCGGGAAGCCAGGGGACCTCTGGGCGGCCGGGACCGCGGGCGGGCGGCGGGCGGGGCGCGGCCGGGACTTACCCACCAGGTGCCAAGTCTTGCGGGGGCCGCAGCGGGCGCAGCGGCCGGCGGCGCGGTCGGCCTCGTAGCCCACCAGGGGCGTGCACAGCCCGTCCGCCACCTGGCCGAGCAGCAGCAGCAGCCCCGCGCCGCGCGAGCTGTAGGCGCGCACCGAGTGCAGGTAGAGCAGCAGGTAGGTGAACCACATGGACGCGCTCAGGTCGTTGAGGAAGTGGCCGACCGCGTAGCTCAGCCGCGCGGCCAGGGACAGCGGCTGCGGGGGCGCCCCCGCTCCCGCGGCCGGGGGCCCCGGACCCATGACAACCTGCGGGCGCGCGCCGGGCCGCCGGGCGGGCCTCGCACTGGACCCGGCGCCTCCGTCCGCGCCGCCTCCCGCGTCCGCCGGGTCCGCCCCGACCAGCGCGGCCGCGGCCGCAGAGCCCGCAGCCCGCGGCGCCCCGGGGGCGGGGAATCCCGAGCGGCGGCCGCCTCCGCCAATAGGGGCCGCGCGCCGGGACCCGGAACCAATCGCCAGGAGAGGGCGTGGCCTCAACATCGGCCCGCCCCCCGCGCCGGCCGCGCACCGGCCCCGCGGCCCTAGCGCCGACCACCCGGGGGTTCGCGGGGGGCCCCTCCGCAGAGGTGGGGGGAGACGCGCATAGCGCCCCCGCCCAGACCCCCGCCTCCCGGCCGTCGCCACCCCGGCCTGCCCGCAACTTTACGGGTCTAACGTGGGCTGAGGAAGAGCGAATGGGCTGGGGCCGGTCCCAGCTTTCTGCCCCTGGGGGGGCGGGTTACCTCCCGCCCCAAGAGACCCCGTCGGGCCCGGGGAGAGCGCATTAGTGCTAATTAATTAGCTATTGCGGATAATAATGGGCTAATCATAATAATAACACCAGCTGGCATTTAACGAGCGCTGACTGTGCCAAGCGCCCCACGTGGGGTTCCTCCCCCAGCGGCGCCGCGGCCTCGGGGCGGGGCGAGCCTCGTCCCCTTCCCCGGCTGGAGGCGGCCCCGAGGAGGCGGAGGGGACCCCGGGGCTCGGGTACTTGCCCTGGGACCCGGGCTGACCCCTGCCCGGGGTTGTCTTCCCACGAGCGTCAAGCGCCTGCAAGCACGGGGCGCCTCTCCCCGGCCGCCCAGGCCCCGACGGCGTTGCTTTAACACTTGCACTTGAGGGGCTCCCCGGTGGCGCAGCGGTTGAGCGCTGGGTTGCGAAGCTGCCCGCAGCCTCTGTGGCGCCGGTTCGATCCCCGGCTGCTCCCCGGCCACCGGAGGAGGGTCCCACATGGCGCGCAGACCCCTCCTGCCGCCCGCTGCTCCCCTCAGCAGTGTACTTGGTCCTTCTGCCTGCTCTGCTCCCCGCTCTGGCTCTGGTGAATTCTCTCACCCTCCCGCGCTTCTGACTGTATCCAGTGCTCGTATAAATAAATAAATAAATAAACAAATAAACAAATAAACAAATAAATAAATAAATAAATCTTTAAAAAAAAAAAAAAAAACTTGCACTTGAGCCAGAATTATGGGGTCCAGATCCGGATCTCCCTGCTCCTGCTGTCCCCTCTGGGACAAGTCACTTCATTTTCTCTGGCCTAAGTCTCCCTGGTCTCTGCAATGGGGATGATGTGTGTTAAAAGTGATGTAAGTGCTCTCTCTTAAATTCTCATCCAGAAAGCCATCTCCGCGTCCCAATTTCCCACCCCACCGCCGCTCCCCGCCCCTCCCCGTCGAGCTGTCACTGCCTCTTCCACTGCACTCTGGTCATTGCTTTATCCCGTGCACATTCTGGGAACTCAAGAAATATCTGTTAAATGACTGATGGTGAAAAAAAATAGGGGAAGAGTCAGAAATGCAGATACAAATTGAAAAACAGCTACCCCCCTGTACACCTCAGGCTCGGGCAGCCCCACGGTGTACCCAGCCCAGGTGCCCACACTGAGGCTCACACACCACAACTTACACTCTTCTATGAAAAGGAGCCTGAAGAACGGGTGTAGAAGGGGTAATAGAGACTCCAGAGAGAACTGGCAGGGGAAAAATTATAAGGGGAGAGCTTTATTGGAGGAGATAAAGGAACTCAACTCTTTCCTCTCTGTAGGGTTTGCTCCCTGAGACATCTCCAGGGGAAATGAAAGACAACTTTAAAATCCTAGCCTAGGGCCTCCCTGGTGGCCTAAGGGTTAAGTCTCAGCGTTATCACTACCATGGTCTGAGTCCAATCCCTGGCCAGGGAGGTACCCACATGACCCAGCAGGCCTCTCTTGTCTCATCCACTTCTCCCCTCAGCAGTGTATTTCAGTAGATCCACCTGTTCTATTCCCCCTTCTATCTCTGGTGAATCCTCTCACCCCCCACACCTCTGGCCTGTACCCCAATTATTGTATGCATAAATAAATCTTTAAAAAAAAGATATTTTCCCCTTCTTCTGATGAAAAGTTGTGCATCATTCATACGTGGTTGTACCATCTGCTGTATCTCTCCGGCTGCTCTCAAGATCTTGTCTTATCTTCTTATCTTCAGACAGTGGCTGTTTGTGAAGTGACTGGACTAGTTTCCTTTGCTCTGACCTGATTATGTGTTACTATGTTTATTGTATTTGTGGATTACATCTACAAACCAATGGTTGACTTATATTACGTACCTGAGGGTCCCAGGAGTTAATGTGTTTTTTAATTTAAAGAATTTATTTATTTATGCATACAAGAGCTGGGGTGCAAGCCAGAGGTGTGGGGGCTGATTCACCAGAGACAGAGTGGGGAGCAGAACAGGCAGACTGACTGAAGTGCACTGCTGAGAGGAGCAGCGGGCAAACCAGGAAAGGTCTGTGGATATCTCCCTGTCCGGGGATCGAACTCAATCTGCAGTGGCTGCAAACAGCTTCTTTACCCTTTGCGCCACCAGGGAGGCCCCTTAATTTTTTTTTTTAAAGATTTATTTATTTATTTATACAAGCACTGGGTACAGTCAGAAGTGCAGGAGGGCGAGAGAATTCACCAGAGCCAGAGCGGGGAACAGAACAGGCAGACGGATGAAATACACTGCTGAGGGGAGCAACGGGCACAGCAGGAGGGGTCTGTCGCGTCATGTGGGACCCTCGCTGGTGGCCGGGGATCGAACCAGTGCTGCAGAGGCTGCGGGCAGCTTCGCAGCCCAGAGCTCAACCGCTGCGCCACCAGGGGAGGCCCCCCCTTAATTATTTTAAACGGGTGCATCTTGTGTGGTTCTTTAATGTTTGTCTGGCCCAATGCATCAACAATGTCATTGATGCCATTACTTAAAAGTGCCTTGTGGAAGTCGCAGAGATGAGGGTCCGCGCGAGAAGAACCCAGGGTGTGCAAATCCAGAAGGGCCTGGTTCAGGTTCTTCCCCAGGACCATGGCAGCTTCCATGGCCTCCAGGGTTCCCCCCCACACACACACACACACTCATCTGGGAAGGCTTTTGGAAGTCCTGGAAGAGGGTGCAGCCCCATGCTTGTTTTGCATCTTCAAGACATGCTCCACACCCTTCCTGGAGAGCCACTTCCTTGATGAAAAGGTAAAATTCCTCAAGAAGATGGGTGACCACATGACTAACCACCACAGGCTGGCCAGCCCCAGGCTAGGCTGGGCGAGTATCTCTTCGAAAGGCTCACTCTCAAACATGACTACATTCCTCCATAGCCCAGTGGCCTTTGAGCGGCCCAAATGGCACCCCTGGTTTTAAGGGCTTCTGCCTAAGCCTCTCCCGGGAGCGCTTCCAAGTTGTGGACCAAATGAAAACAATAAAGCTTTTTTGAGAAAAAAAAAAGGGAGGGGCCTCTTGATGCTGGCTTTGTCTGTTAATTCTTGATCTCAAATTGAGTTCATAGAATGCAATATTTAATGCTGTATTTTTGTCTGTGGACCATTTTAACTTTCCTTTCATGAGTCCATTGAATCTTTAAATATTTCCGCTGGCATTTGGATTACATGGTATGTGGAAATTACATATTATATCAAAGTTTTGTGTCCACTTTTAACTTGTGATCCCGTGAAATGAGATCCCTGGTCACTTCCAGTTACAGTCGGGTCTCTGCAATTTGCTCTCCATTGCCTTAATGTGGTAATAGTAGCACTTTGATTAGGTTTTTTATATGCTTTGGCCATTCCTAGGCCAGTTCCTATATCTACAATTGTGCAGGTGTATTTATGTTGATTTCTTTTAGTAGCCCTATAAAATCTACTTGCAACATAAAATTAAATATATATGGCTTATATTGCATGCCTGGTTCTTTATATCTAAACCTTGTATTTATGTTAGGGCAATTTGTGCAGCCTCTAATATCGTTTTCTGTTATGTCTACTGTGTTATTCATGATCTTCCATTCTGGCTTTCTTTTAAAGATTTATTTTATTTTGTATCTCACAATTATCGTTGTTTTTTCCTTTTAAAGTTTTATTCATTTATGCATACAAGAGCTGGGGTATAGGCCCAGAGGAGCAGAGAGGCGAGAGGATTCTCCAGAGACAAAGCGGGGAGCAGAATAGGCAGAGCTACTGAAATACACTGCTGAGGGGAGCAGCAGGCGAGGCAGGAGAGGTCTGTTGTTCCATGTGGGTTGCTCCCTGGCCGGCCAGGGAATGAACTCGTGCTGCAGTGGTTGCGGATTGCTTCATAGGCTGCGTCCTAACCCCTTGCGCCACCCCGGAGGCCCTAATAAGACCTTATAACTGCTGCACCTCCCCCTGCAGTGACCTTCAGGGCTAATGGCTTTCGCCACGGTCCCTAGGTCCGACTGGGCAAGGAACCAGCGTGCAGGGGAGTACAGCAAAGTTCCCTGAAAACATAGATAAGACAGATGCTTATCAAAAGATAACGACCACCAGGAACCACTACAAGAATGCTACTACAAAAAACCTTATCTCGTCTTTCTAGAACTACAAACTTTATTCCCTTATTGTCTTTCTAAACTTCCTTCTTTCTTCTATAAAGGTCATTGGTTGTTAATTAAAAAATCATGTGAAATCCTTAACACAAGGCTGACTCAAATGAAACATTACTAAACCCTGTAATAATTAAAATATAGTTTAGGTGAAAAGTAGTTAGTAAAACAAAAAATGCGATTGTATAGTTTAAAAACAAAACTAATGGTTTATCTACTTGAGAATGCAGCTAGGTCCAGATGTAAATCACTGCCCTGTCAGTGATAAGCTAAACCCATGAGCAAGCTGATTTCATTGATATTCATTGTTCCTATGCTTTTAGAAAACATATATATACCAGTATATATATATACACACACGGGTCACAAACTCAAAGAAAATTACACTCAGATTTACACTCTCTCTTGAAGTGTGT